TGAGAGGCTGCATCTGGCTTCAGTGAATGTGTTTTAAAGGCTCACTGTGTTTGCCCATTTCACAGTGGGTGACTTACGAGCGCACCTGCCCACACCACGCTGAGTGTTCGGCAGTTTCTGACCAAAAATGGCATGACCCCTGTGCCTCACCTTCCCTCTTCACCTGATCTCACTCTGAGCAACTTTGATTTTTTTTATTTTCCCAGATGAAAAAAGTCCTCAGAGGGAAACGTTCTGCCAATGTGGACGAGGTGAAACAAAAAACGGCAGAAGAACTAAAAGGCACCAAAACCGACAGCTCAAAAACTGTTTTGAGCTGTGGGAAAAACATCTCGATAGGTGTGTTGCATCATGGAGAGGACCTGGAAGGTGACTGAGGTTTAAACATGTCAGAATAAGTACACGATTACTTCTAAATAAACCCCAGGTTTTTGGGTCCCTCCCTCGTATAGCCACCCAGACATATCTACATCCTCTCTTTCACCCAAGAAAAAAGGAAGAGCCCCCCTCCCCTCCCCACCTCGCCGCTCCCCCACCCCAGTTTCCACCCTCTCCCCCTGCTGGCCCACAGCTCGTACTGCGCTCACTTTCGGCCAAGGCGCAGCCTCACCTCTTGACCCCCATGACAGCGGAACACCTGGCTGTGAGGGAACACCGGCCGCCTCTCCGCCCTGAGCAGCATTCGGTGGAGGGGATGGGCATGTTGGGGGAGAGCGAATGATTGGGGCTGTGCCCAGTGCCTGCCACCCACACAGGAAGGGGGCTCAACAAGGCCACTGGCCACCCCTCCCGGCTCCAGGCTGGCAGCAACCTGACCCACCTGTGCAAGGAGGACCCCCCTGCCTGGCCCTCAACTGCAGAATCCGGAGTCTCTCTTTCCCTAAACCCTGGGGGCCCGTCACTGGCGTTTGGAACCAGTTCCGGTGCTGCTGCGGCTTTGGGAACTGCATTCTGAGAGGGAGCTGTCCTGCCCTCAAGGACGGCGTTGTCCAAGCCTGTCCAAAGCGGGCAGGCGGCCGCTGGACGCTGGGGGTCCAGGGGAGGGTTGCTCAAGGCGCTGCCTCCACCAGCCTCCTCACAGCCCCCTGGAGAGGCGGACTCAGGCCACCCAGCAAACGGTCAGCAGTCACACAGGGGATTCTTTTTAAAAAGATATGTAGCAAGAGGTCTGTGAGGCGGGACTGGCCTCACCTGGTTATGGGGCTGAGCAGCCCCATGAGGAGCCGCTGTTGCAGGAGGCTCGGGGAAGTGACCAGTGCTCCAGTTTGGAGCCGAGGCCTGAGGACCTGGGGCGCCCGTGGCTCAGGGCGGGGAGCACGGCTGTCATGGCTCAGCACAGGTCGGACCTGCCCCCTCGGCCCCTCTGTCCTCCCCAGGCCTCCGAGGGCTGGAAGAGGCCCCTGCGCTGGTGAGGACCATGTTGTCTACGGAGCCAGGGAGCAGGAAGGGCTGGTGGCCCGCCCGCCACCCGAAGGAGCACCCCACCGAGACGGGGCTGGCCAGCACCTCGGGTGGAGCGGGCGGTTGGTGCTCAAATGTGAGAACCACTGTTCCGAGGGCCCGGGGTTCTGCCATGGGGCAGGCAGGTCGGGTGGTCACGTGCATCCCATGAACCTCTCAGAGCCGGGCCCACAGCCGCCAGGCAGTTGAGCTGAGGGTGGGGCAGTGGGCTTGCAGAGTAGGCCCACCCCATATACGTGGCTTGAGCCCCCACGAAGCCCTGAGAGGAGGAAATTGTTGGTCTGGTCTCACGGACCAGGAAACTGAGACTCAGAGGTTCACCAACCCACCCAGCGAACAAGGAGCAGAGTCCAGCCTTAAACCTGCCACACTGCCTGCAAACAACTCAGACTTGGAAAATGGAGGGTGGGGTGGTGACTCCCAGGAGGTAGGTCTCTCCTGGGGACCTTGTGGGAGGCTGAGGAGAGAGCGGAGCTGTGCTCCCTGGGTGGCCAGAGGTGCCCCAGGCTTCATGCACAGCCTGTGTCCTCCATGATGCTTCAGGCCGACAGCACCTTCCCCAGGTGGAAGGCGAGCTGTCTGTGTGCCACTGGGGAAGGTCGCTTTCCGGGGGACTGGACAGCACCCCCTTCCTGAACGCCTCACCGCTTGCTTGGCAACACCCACCAAACCCGTGGCGTCTTCCTAGATTCACTCTCCGGCCACCAAGCACCCCAAGGCCCTGGGCACTGTGAGTCTTAACTGAGAAGGAAAAGAGCCTAAAGAGGCACCCAGCATCGGCACAGAGGTCACCGTAGTCATCACCGAGGCTCACATGTCAGTTAGCAGCACAGGCCGCGAGTTCCACGAGAGATGCCAAAGGGCCACGAAGTCACGCTTGCACACTGCGTGGGAAACGGCCCCCCCTCCCCGGGGTTTTCTGGACCACAGCCGCAGAGAGGTAGTTTTGTAACAGGCGCCATGACAAAACGCGAAGCAGCACTGCCCTCTGGTGGACACGAACAGTATGTACAACAGCTCACGGAGCAGGAACTGAAGTACCAGTGGTGGAAATGGCCACTTTTCAGAGATGGATGCTTCTGGAAAGTGCGCGTCTAAAACCGCAAGCACTCTTGGGAGCCTTCGCTCGGGGCCACGAAAAGTTTTATTCCTCCCGTCAGCCACCCACCTTCCTCCTCCACGCTCCCGGAACACCCAGGGAAGTCTGAGCAGGTGGCCAGGAGTCACTGTGAGGTCATGCTCCTGTGAGCTCTGCGGGTGGGTTGGGGCACGAGCCTGTGTGACTGTCCCCAGCCAGGGTGCAGAGCGCAGGAGGCAGCCGGTCTGCGTATTTCTCGCTCATCAGTGTTTCTCCCCCTCTCTTTCTCCCTCCCTTCCCCTCTCTCTAAAGATAAATAAACATATCTTCTTAAAAAAAAAAAAGACCCCCCGATGGGTGTCTAGAGTGAGCCCTGCAGCTTGACCACTGTGTCCAGGCCTGTGTCCACGTGAGGCAAAGGGCGCCTGGGAGGGGACCTGGAACAGGGGGACTTCTCCAGAGGGGCCACAGTGTTATCACCGTCCCTTTGCTGTTTTGCACCGGAACAGACTCAATGATGACTTGTAGTTCACATTTTGGAAGTGCACTTCACATGCAAGGTTAACGCTCACTCGTGATGGAATGCGACGTACACCCTGAAGAGCCTCTGGCCCACGCGGGCCGCAGAAAGAGTGGACATACAGTGGGCCGCCACTCAGCTAGGACTGAACCCAGCTAAGCATGGATCCTGTGGGCGTGGGGGACCTGGCACCTCTCCAGTCACACCCAGCCCCGAGACGCCGCCGCCTAGCCAACGTCTGTGATGATCATGGCCTTTTTTTAAGATTCTATTTATTTCTTTTTAGAGAGAGGGAAAGGGAAGGAGAGAGGGAGAGAAACATCAACGTGTGGCTGCCTCTCAGGTGCCTCCTACTGGGGACCTGGCCCGCAACCCAGGCGTGTGCCCTGACTGAGAATCTAACCTGTGACCCTTTAGTTCCCAGGCTGGTGCTCAATCCACTGAGCCATACCAGCCAGGGCTTGTTTTTCTATAGCTTCCCACCTGCGTTTCCATCTCTAAGTGCATAGTTCAGTTTGGGTTACTGTTAAACTGCATGTAAAGGACCCACCGTGGCCCTGACTGGTGTAGCTCAGTGGATGGAGTGACGGCCTGCAAACCAAAGGGTTGCCGGTTCGATTCCCAGTCAGGGCACATGCCTGGGTTGTGGGGCAGGTCCCCAGGAGGGGGAGTGTGAGAGGCAGCCACACATTGATGTTTCTTTCCCTCTCTCTCTCCTTCTCTTCCCTTCTCTCTAAAAATAAATAAAATGCTTTTTAAAAAGAGGACCCGCTGTGACTCACTCCTGTCTGTAATATTCCATTAGCACACGTCGACGCCTTTGGAAGGACACTGGGTAATTTTCCAAGTTTTCACGTCAGAAAAGTGAAATGAAGCCACCACAGGGAGCCTCCTACGTCAGCTGATGCCCCACGTGCTGCAGGTTCCCTCGGCCAGAGGCTGGCGGACGTGTTCCACTAGTGGCCAGATGGTAAGTAAATATTGGAACTAGATAGTTTAGGAACCAAATAGTTTCTCTTGCCACTGCTGGATTCTGCCCTTGTCCTGGGGAAGCAATCGTGACCATGTGCTAAAAAAAAAAAAGAGGAACATGACTTTATCTAACAAAACAAAGCAGAGACAGGCGGCAGGCCGGACTGGGCCCCTGTCCCAGTTTGCCGAGTCCTGCCGAAGACGGCTTGCTGAGGGGGGACTGACACGCCCGCCCCCGCCCGCGTCACGGCACGGCAGCCCTGCGTGGGCACGCGCACACTCAGCTTCGCGGGGTCAGACTCTCCCCCGAGGGCTTGTGCACATTTGCAGCCCCGCCGACAGGCCAACGCGCCCTGGCCACACACAGCCTCACCGGTACCTGGTGTGTCGGTTATGTCCACCAGGCTCACAGGCGTGCTGTTGTTTTGCGTTTCACCTGTAAGTAGCTGAGACTCAACAGCAACGCATGGAAGGAGAGTGTCTTCCCTGGGCCCTTGAATGGCAGAAGCCAAGATGTCCCAGGGCGGAATCAGCAGTTTTCTTCGAGATCCCGTCCTGTCCCCGGCCCACCCCTGGCCTGCGCTTCTCCTGGGCATCTTCGCGCCGCCATCACTGCTGTCCGTGAGGGCGGGAGGGAGGGCCGCACCCCTGCACCCCACAGACACCAGCTCTGGAACCTGGAGACGCTGATGAACAGCAACAGGGACTGAGAGCAGTCGGTCCTGGAAGCCGGCAGGGCGGGGGTGGGGGTGCTGATGTGAGAGGAACGGGGGACAGAGGGCACAAAAATGGACAGCCAATGAAGGCGACATTGGCGACAGACAAATCTGGTGGGAGTGCCCGGGGCTTAGCTGTAAAAACAGGAAGTTTCGATTCAAGTTCTATAGTTTCCTTTAAAGACCCCCCCACCCCGCCCTGCATGTTCTGCATTTAATGTGTCGGCGTGGGTCTGGGAAGGAGAGACATGCGGACAACTCAAAAAGAATCTTTTAATAAAAACTGCTCATAAAATCCTGATAAATTTCACACAGCAAGATATTTCTTAGTACATTTATAAAAGAACATTTGGTCCTTTTACAAAAAGCTCCCTTTTAATTTAAATACACTTCTTATTTACAGATTAGATAGAAAATATCATCTCTAGTTGCAAAGCATATTGCACATTACAGAGAAGCACTTGTGTATTTCTGTAGGTTTTCCAGAGCTTCCAACTCTAGAATGCTTAAAAAAAAAAACCACAACAGATTTACTTTTCTTGTGCATAATAAATAAAAATGCAGCTTGTGTTTTGCTATTAAAACCACCACAAAATACTTGGAGAACCACTCTCTGCCTCTGTGGAGAGGGGAGGTGCGCCACCTCGGCAGGTCCACGGAGACCGAACAACACTGTCACCAGACTCGCCCACGTCCCAGCGGGGTGGCAACCCTGAGCCCTGCGTGGGCAGGGACACCGGCCAGCCCAGCCACTGTCCCAGACACCCTGGGCAGCCGTGGACGTGGCCAGATGGAAGAGGAAAGAGGAAGGTTGAGGGTTCCGCTGCTCCGGCAAGGCGGCCAGTGCGGAACTGGAGAGCAGCCGCCCCAGGGGAGAGCTTGTGAGGGGGTCGGTCGACCAGGAGCAGCCCTTCCGCCGCAAGACACACTTGCCTCGTCGGATCTGAGGCTCTGACCTGCAGTCTGTCTATGCACAGACACTGAGAACAAGGACCCCACGTGCACCCGCGCCCCACGCCAGGGCAGCTTCTGCACAGAAGCCCGGCTGAGCGGCCTACAGGGAAGGGGTGGTGACGGGAGCTGGGTTTCCAGAGGGCCAGTGTGGCTGGAGAGCTGACTGTCACCTCCAGGCTCCCAGAACTCCAGGGAGGGGAGTTCCCGTCCCATCACCTGCAGCAGAGGCAACCCCTGTGACGGTCTCACCCCTGGCGGGGGTAGCCGAGCCACTTGACTAGAAGGCAGCCTCCCCCACAACCCTCCAAGCCCTGGCGCTGTGTGGGCCAAAGCGGCCAAGACACCAGCTGACTGCGGGGCTTCGAGGAGGGTATGGGCGCACGGCTGCTCCTGAGGGGCCTCCCGGCCAAGCCCCAGCAAGGGAATGTCTGACGCTGCCCTGAGCAGGCCCCCCAGGCCTGAAATCCACAGACACAGTACAGAGCAGCAGCCAGGGACCTGAGGAGTAAGGCCCGGTCCAGAGGGGACCGTGGGGTGCTGGGTGTGTCTGCGGAGCTGGGAGGAAAGCCAGGGTGCTGGGGACAGAGGACGCCCAAGGGCCTGCTCCCCGGCTCCGTGTGGCCCATGCTCCCAAGCAGGTTGGGAAAGTCTCTGCTGGATTTACCCGGGGAAAGAGAGCTACGGGGGAGCCTCTGCCTGCGGTGCAAGGGTCCAGAGAGAGACTCTTGGGTTTCCCGAGCCCATGGAAACAAGAAAACTTTCTATTCAGTAGACGAGACAGTGTTGATACACAGAATGCTTCTGAAATGGGGGTGGGGGGGTAGAACTAAAACAGAAGCATTTGATTCTTTTACTTTGAAACTGGCAGAGTGAATGTTTAAAAGATGGAAGTGATACATTATTACTGAAAAACACCCCTGAAGAAATCTCAGTGAACTGAACCCTACATCTCTTTTAAAAAACAGTAACAAATTTTCAGGAAGGAGGACAATGTGTCCCTTTGGTTCACACCTGGCTCGCCTCTCCACAGACAGACAGACAGACAACCACAAGATAGTGTGAGGCCAGGGGTTCGAATACATCTCTGCATGAGCGCTTGGCACATGTTCAAAGAGAGACACTTTCGTTCTGGCCGAGGAAATGAGGAAGAAGGCGGTTAGCACACGCTCCTCCTTATAAATGCTTCAAATGTCAGGTTGAAAGGCAACAGCCGGCCAAGAGATTGCCAGAATCTTGCTGACACCCACCCCTCCACGTCTCCCCTGTGGTCCTGCCTTGAATGGCTCAGAACACACCTCTCAGACCCAGTGCAGCTGTGACACTCGGTGGCCCAAACCGAAGCCACACAGCCCGAGGCCAGAGCCTGCAGGACAGAGAAACGGCTCAAGAAGCGGGAGCTGAGAAGCCACCTGACCACCCTCCCGACTCGGTGGACCGGCACCGGACACAGGAAACAAGCCAAACCCTGACCCGGACGTGGTCGGAATAAAGATTCCTTGGGGAGTGAATGTGAGGCAGACGGAAGCTCGGGCACCTCGGGGCTCCCTCTCTCCCCGAAAGGCACCCGGCCTGGTCCTGGGACCCGGCGGCTCCGGGGTGAGTCCCGCATTGGCTCGAAACACACCCAGTGCGGACACTGCAAGCAGACCGCCGCTAACACCGCGGAGTTTGCGGGGGTGCAGACGGGTGACTGGGTGACCTTCCCCCACGGGACCCAAGATCACGGCGGGTTTCGGGAAGAGGGCCCGACTGTCCAGTGAGAGAGAGACAGGATGACCAAGTGCAGTCGACTTCAGGCCCTTTGCACAGAAACTCCGCCCGCAGCGGGACTGCGGCCAGGAGGCCGGCCGCGCCACGGGACCCCCAGAACAAAGCTGCGAGGATCCATCCGGAGCCTCCCATCCACTGCGCCGAGCGACACCGGCACGGTCAGCAGAAGCCGCCTTCTACGGACCTTCTCACTTCCAACCGTGTCCTTGAGGAAAACAGGGCACTTTATTGAACAGAGGAGAGACGGTGAGGTGAGCAAGACCCTACTGGACGTGGGTGGGGGTCTGCAGGGCCGGGGGGTCAGATCAGGCCGACCATCTGGTCGATCTGCCGCATGTAGACGCTCTTCAAGGGCAGGGAGTACCTCCTCTCGTCAGGCACACGGTTGCACTGGGGAGAGAAAAGGGGGGACGCTGGGGACTTAGGACTAGAGACCCCCGTGCTGAGCCTCGGCTAACGTGGCTGGGTGAGCTGACCCGGGGTTTCTCAGCCAGACCCTGGGGACACCCGGGGCTGCCTGTGGGCTGCGGGAGGGTTGGCAGCATCGCTAACCCGGCCACCAGATGACCCCTGACCCCACCACCCAGTGTGGCCACTGGGATTGTCTCCAGACCCTGCCCACTGTCCCCCAGGAGCACTGACGTGAGGAAGACCCTCACGTGTAACCAAACGTGACATCTGGGGGCAGTTCCCCCGAACACTGCAGCAGGCTCTTCTCCAAGGGGACCTGCCCCCATCGCTCGGAATGGGACCCTTCTGGCCCGGCTCCACGTCCTCAGAAAGTCAAGCCCCATGGGTCCCTCAGCCGGTCCCTGCATCCCACCCCTACTTCCTTCTCCCTGAGCAGCCCCCACCCAGGGGCCCCTTCCTGCCTTCAGGACCCACTGAAAAGCCAGCTCCTCCAGGAAGCCCTCCTGACTTTCTCGGCAGCACTGCGGCTGGGCCCTCCTCAAAAGGACCTGAGGGCAGGTGGTCTTTCCACTAGGCCCTGACCTGTCTGGAACGGGGTCTCTTGGTCAGCCCCCAAACCCTTCAGAATCAGCTCTATCACATGGGTGTCACCTTCCAGCCCAAGCCTGGCTCCACCACACGGTGTACGACCCAGAACTGACAACCCGGGGGACTTCTCCACGCTCTGGCCTCTCACTTTCACTCACAGGCCAATGGCCGAGACCTTCATGTGGACATTACAGGGCAGTCCCGGGGCAGAGTCTGGGGTGGAAAGCGCCCGACGCCAGGCGGCAGGCGGCAGGAACCTCAGCCACCAAGGCTTTGAGGGGAGGTGGCATTGATGCCGTGTGGGGAGAGAAGGCCCGGCAGGCCCAGCGACGCACGGCCCACTTCCAAACCTGCGACTTGATTCAGATTGCGACGGCGACGGTGAGGACGAGGAGGAGAGACACAGGCCCCATTTCCACGTGCTCCCTGCAGCCTGCCGGGGGACCGGCCTGTGCAGTGCAGCCTGCTTGGGGTGGGGCCGGGCCCCCACTGCCCCTCAGGGGCATCTTCATGAAAAGTATGTTGACCAGTGCTGCCCCCCTCCACCCACCTGTGGACCCACCTGCCCCGCTGTGCACCCTGCTCTGGACAACAAGGTAACTCTAACACAGGCCCCTGCCCTCTGGTGCAAGCATGTCAGAAGGAGGAGGGTCAAGTCCATCCTCAGCTGGCTCCTTCCTGCCGGAGGCCCCTGTCTGCCAGCTCCTGTGACCACCGTCCCTGCCAGCCCCTGCAGCCGGCGTGATAATGGGCCCCACTGCTGTGGCTTCCCACCCCCCGCGCTGCTTATGTGAACGGCTGCGGGAAACTCCTCGCTAAGCCAACCCGCACGGGCCCTGCAATTGGCTGCTAGTGTTTTCTCTCCCTCCACGTGTGAACCACCTGGAAATGGAAGCAACTTCGACTTACGTTGGAGCTGGAGTTGATGACCTTCGCATCCTGGGACTTGGGTCTGTGCGAGGGCTTCCCTGCGGGGCCCCGCCGGCCCTCCTCGGGGAAGAGCTCCTTCCATGGTGCCTCCCGCAGGTGTTTGTCCACGGACACAATGTGCCCCTCAGTCGTAAACATGTACCTGGTCCCAGACTTGTGCACTGGGTTCTCCTCGTCGAAGAGCTGGTGGGAAGGACAAGGGGAGATAGGCGCAGCTGGTGACTGTGTCCCGCGGGTCCCGACTCCCGGGCAGCCCTCGGCTCTGCAGCAGCAAACGGGGGAAGCGCCAATGAACAGCTGCGGTTCCCGACTAGGCTACAAGCCCGGATCCCCAACTTTGTTTAACTCAGATGTCCCCACCACCGGCTGAGAGCCGCACGGCCGGGGGCTGAGATGCAGACTTGGGCGGCGTGTGGAAGCCCCGGGGTGGGCCCTGTATGTGCTCGTGCTGGGTTCCGGAGCCCCAGGCACCCCTGCCCTGCCAGACGCTGGAGGAGGCGGGTGTTCTGTCCTTCTCAGTGTCCTCAGCACACGGGCCACCGCCCAGCGCATCCCGGTGCCAGGGCGGGGCCAGGCTCTGGGGACCCAGGGGACTCGGGCTGCTCTCCTCCGAGGCTGGGCACAGGGAGGGAGCCCCCAGGCGGGGTCAGTGCCGAAGGAGCTGGCGCTGAGGCGTCTCAGGCGGGAGACACCCGGGAGTCCCCGCGCCGTCCACCCAGCCCGCACAGCGAACAGGAGGAGGATGTGGGGGGCTGGCTCACCCGACCCTGGGCCCCAGGGGGCTCCTCCGCTCACTCCGGACCCACCCTGCAAACACCCCCAGGCATGGCAGCCGCGTGGACTGTGGCCCGGCCCTGCTCAGCCTGCGTCACTGCCTGACTCTGCTGTGCTGTCGGAGGGGACCTGGTGAGTGGCTCCCGGGAGCAGGCCGCGGGCCATGCCACGTGGATGCCTGGGGCGCACCCCCTCTGCGGTCCCCCCTGGAAAGTGACACCAAAGCACAGTGATACGCTCTCCCGGGCCCTCCTCAACCAGGACCGCGGGTCCGAGTCAGGCTTGCATCTCTGGGTGACAGAGCCTCCCGCACACCGAGGTCAGAAGCCACGGGGGTCGGGGGTGGGGCCCCTCAAGACACACGCACCAGGTACAGGTACTTGCAGGTCTCGCTGAGGAAGAAACTCTCCATGCGGTCCTCCTTGGACTTGTCGACGACGTGGTGCAGCGTGGCGTACCCGCACCTGCGGGGCCACAGCCCGGTCAGCCCCGCCCGCCCCTGCGTGGCCGCACGCACCGAGGGGCGGGCGGGGTCCAGCCTGGGGCAGTAACCGCAGTGTCCGACGCCACAGGGAGGACACACCCGGTGGGGTCAAGGGCCACCGGTCTTTAGCTGGACCGCCTGCAAATCCACTTACAGACGGACTTGGCAGCTGAGCCCCCCGGTTAGCTGTGGGGAAGGGAGGCGGGTATGCGGGCAGGTGTTTGCCGCAGGTGTGACGGGACACCAGGGAGGTGACCGGCAGGGAATTTGGAAGGACTTATTTACATGTTTTCATCCTAATATTTATAGAACTGGTGTATCATTTGGATGGCTGAAAGCAGGATAAGAAAATACTTATGACATACTGCTAGGTGAGAAAAGCAGATCACAGTGTTGAAAGAGAGTTTGTAACACACACACACACACACACACACACACACACACACGCTAAGGACACATACAGCCCCCTGGGTTGGTGGGGGTCAGTGGACTGAGCCCCGGCTGTGAACTGAAAGGTCACGGGTTCCATTCCCAGTCAGGGCTCATGCCTGGGTTTTGGGCTGGTCCCTGGTTGGGGCTTTTGAGAGGAAAGCAATCGATGTGTCTCTCACACCTCAGTACTTCTCTCCCTCCCTCCCCCATCTTTAAAAATAAATAAAATCTTAAAAAAATACGCATAGTCTGCTAGAACCTTACAACGAAAACGGTGAAGTAACAGAAGCCACCCCCACTGTCACGGGCAGGTTCTCCCACACAAACAGGAAGCAATTTCCGCACAAAATTAACACTAACGACCTGTCCTGTACATTAAAGAGCCACAGCGAATCGACAACATTTCTGCAGAACAACTCAAAGGAAATCAGAAGTGCCGCAGGGAGGGAGGGGCGGAGGGCACTCACTTGACCTTCGTGTGCTTCTCCAGGCTCTGCAGGATGTCCATGCCCACGTGCAAGTAGAAGGGGTTCTTGGTCGCCTAGGGGGAGCACGACAGCGCGTCACCCGCGAGGTCTGAGGTCGTGCGGGCGGCAGAGCTGGCGGGCGCCGCAGGGGTTTCTGAGCAGATGAGCCACTGGCAAAGCCACTGGCACAGGGCCAGGTCCCCTTGGTCCTGAAGGGCCACAGTGCGACAGGCCTGGGGTGCCTGCCAGCTCCCGCCGACCGCCCCAACAACCTACTGAAGATTAAGCAGGGCTGAGAGAGCCCAGTCCTGGGCCGAACCAGACCCGGCCTGGCCTTCCGGAGCTGCGCCCCTGCCAGAGACGAGCAATGCCGCTCGGACAGTGCCACGCCGAGGGCAGATCTGGGCTCAGCCGCACCTCGGACCTCCCCAGAAACGCCCGCTCCCGGCTCTGGGAAGCAGGTGCTCGCCCCAGTGCTGGGCCCTCACTGTGAGGCAGCGACGGGAACGGGGCACGCGGGGCCCTGCAGGAGGCTCTGCAGCCCGTCCGCCCGCCCTGAGCTCCGGCCTGGGGGTGCCCACTGCGCCAGCACTGGCTCAGAGGTGGTTTGCTAGGACGGGGTTCTCTGGGAAAATGCGACTTCGCCCCACCAACAGTCTGACGGCCGGGGCCCTGTTTAATTCCTGCCTGGTGCCAACCTGCAGCAGCAAAAACAGAACTAAAGGGTGGCCGCAGGCACAGAGGGAGGCTGCGGAGGCCAGGCCGAGAGCGGGAAGGCGTCCCCGAGCCCAGGGGCCGCGCTGGAAACGGGAAGCAGCACAGACAGGAAGAGAGAGAGTCTCCAAGGCGACAGACCCAAGCTGACGGGAACTGAGCTGGCACGGGCCTGCCAGCCGGGGAGCTGGACAGGTTGGGGGCACCCTGAGCTCAGGGAGACCCATTGGGGGCAGCCCCCCTCTTTTCAGAGGCCACCTAAGCCCAGGAGCACAAGGGCCACCAGCAGCTTCACTGGACATCCCTGCTTTGCATGGAGAAGCCAGCGAGCCGGCCTCGGTGTTCAGATGTCACCAACTAGACCTGATCCCAGCGCCGATGCCACCGCGGAGCTCACAGGGGTCAGCGGGCCCCGGGGCACCAGCCACACCACAGGCAGGCCAGCGTCCCACGCAGCGCGAGGTGGGAGGCTGTGTGTATATACGTACGGCAGGTGGAGTACAAACGGCCACCTGTGACAAGGGGGCGGAGACTGCACAAGCAGTGCCATCCCCCTGGCACGGAAGTCACTACACTATGCTCTCAGCATTGACCAAGAACAGGTGTCCAGACATGTCCCTGACTCTCCTCACAACCAAGGAAAACAACTTTTTTGTCTGAACAGTTATCACAGAGACCAGGTCCCCCAGCACACGAACTGCACCCCCAGAAAGAGTGGTGGGGCAGATCGATTTCAGAAACACCGAGCAGAGCAGTCTGGACCATCCGGGGATGCAAGAGAGGAGGCCTGCAGTTCAGACGCGGTTCGGCTCTACAGGACGTTAGGTTGGCGCCGAGCCACCGCTGACGCAGTCCCTGTCCCAGGGAAGTGTGATGGCTCCGCCACTGAGGACACAGGGACCGGTGGGCACCATCAGCGTAACCATGGAACAGCGCAGGCCCACGGCCACCAGCCCGCAGACGCGAGCCGAGGCCCCCTGCCTGGCTGCTGGGCGCTGGACCTGCGGCGGTGGGGGTGGGGGCGAGCGGATTCCGCACCTGGTAGAGCAGGTACGTGGACTCCACCAGCTCAGGCCGCAGCGGGTAGAAGAGCACGTCCGGGGCCTGCAGCTGCCAGTTGTACCTCTCGGGCAGGGCGCCGTACCGCTTCCAGATGGCGTAGTAGAAGGCGTGCAGGCAGATGGCGTCCTCCACGTCTCCCATCAGCACCTGCACACAGGCACAGGTCACCAGGCGCAGTGGCGAGACACCACACGGGGCAGTGGGCTCTCCTACCACCCACCCGCCCCCACCCCGGTTGGACACACGACCACCCCAAAAGCGGCAACCTGGGGCGACAGATGCCCTCGCGCCGGGCGGGTGAACGCGGCCCCGTACCTGCAGCCCGGGGAAGAAGGCCTGCAGGGAGTCGATCCAGGTGTTCATCAGCTGCCCGCTGAACATGTTCACATTCACGTACAGCGGGGGGTCTCCTTCCCCCTCGTTGCAGGCTTCCCGACTGAGGGCCATGCAGAGCAGTCCCGTGAGAGAGAGGCCACGGACAGGCCCACTCTATCCCGCTGGCGCCCCGGGTAGTTTAACTGAACCTTGCCCCTTCCTCCCCCTTTAAGCCTTCGGAGACAGGCTGCCTCCACCTGTGGGTCCTGGAGTCTGGTGCAGACATCCTGACTGCGCCAAGGTCACAACCAAGCATCGGGATAGCTCAGGTCCCGCCATGCTTGCAGGAGGCTCCCTGATGTTGAGGGTTAAGGACGTGGCCCCGTCACGAAGCACAGCATGGGGCTCCGTGGGGCTCCGGGGTTGGACCTGAGTGGGGAAGCCTGGGTATTTCTGCACAGAAAAGGAGTCTCCCGTCTAACATGTGGACACCACGGGCCTGGAGGATCGTATCAGAGCTTAACCTCAAGGGGCCGCTGCGTGAGTGAGCCTGGGAGTGGGTGCTCTGGCCCCGATTGGGCCTCGGCGAGGCCGCTGCCCCCACCAATAGCCTGGAGACAACCCGTGAGACCCTGGTCAGTGCAGCCGCTTCCGGCTCCTGACCCTCAGATGTTGCTTCAAGTACTAAGTTTTGGGGCAACTTGTTACACAGCAGCAGGTGGCTAATGCACTCCTGTGCCCCCAAATGATGGACAAACAACCAGCGAGGACAGAGGCCCAGTGAGCCCGCAAGTGCACTCAGGGACAGACAGGAGGTGTGCTGTGTGCTCCCAGGGCGACGGGAGATGGGCGGGCGCCTACCCTCTGCGCAAGTAGCTCCGGATGCTCCGGTAGGCGGCGTTGAACATGTCCAGGTCTTCCTTCTCCCCGAAGAGGATGTGAGACTTCAGGAGGTACTCGTAGAAAGAGTCCAGCCCGGCCCCCAGGCCACTCTGCTTCCCCACCCAGCGGCCTGTCTGGATGTTGACCACGTTGCCTGTGGGGACAGCGGCAAGACAGGGCTGTCACTGGGTTTTTCCAGACGGACAGCTCATTTTAAAAGCCCAGAGTGGCCCCGGCTGGTGTGGGCACAGTGGATTGAGTGTCAACCTGTGAGCCAAAAGGTCGCTGGTTCAATTCCCAGTCAGAGCACATGCCTGGGCTATGGGCCAAGCCCTCAGTAGAAGGCATATGAGAGACAACCACACACTGATGTCTCTCTCCCTCTCTTCTCTTTCCCTTCTCCTTTCTCTCAAAATAAATAAATGAAATCTTAAAAAAAAGGATGTAAGGAATAATCACAAATCACCTTTAAAAAAGCAGAGCCGTACGGCCCCAGGACACTCAAGTCACTTCCCGATGACGAAACACATGCCTGACTGTCAGACAGTTACATGGGAGAAAACCCGTTTTTGAACAGCATCGAGTCAGCAAAAGGCTGAAAACCGCCGAGGGTGAAGGGCGGCCGCAGAGGCATCCATCCCGCCTCATCCCTTCTTCCTACTTTTATATACTCAAAAGTTTTCCTAATTAAAACCCCCAGCATCTTGACCAAACACTCTCAGGGGAAAAACGAGCCCCCAACACAGGTTTGATCTGAGCTTTCGGTCCACAGCTGCTGCCGGATGGCCCGGGCCTTGAAGGGCCAGCCCAGCGCACACCTGCAGCCGCGCGAGCCACCTGCCACACTCCTGTGATGACGTGAGCTCTAGGGAACAGTCGCTATGGAAACGGCGAGGGAGGAGCCATGTTTGCGTACCACTGCCCAGGGGCCTCAACCTTCCAGGAGGGGAGCAGCCAGCAGCAGCCCGCCTCACACCGTGTTTGGGAGCAGCTGTTTGGGGGGCTCTGCCAAGGGGCAGACCAGAAGGGACCCGCAGAAGCATTCTCCGCCCATGGAATCTCACCACCTGCCTCTACACGAAGGTCGCAGGAAGAAGCCGGGCAGGGCCCTGCTGAGGGCCGACCTGCCGAGCGTCAGATCTGGAGGGAGCGTCAGATCTGGAGGTACGGAAAGAAGGTGTGGGGAGGAGGGGGCGCCCGAGAGAAGAGGAAAAGACAGGGCCCAAGCCCGCAGTCCCGTGGCTGGAGCAGATGCCCCGCAGGTGCCCGCACCTAACAGCCCTGTGCCGTTGCTCCGGAGGCTCCACAGGGCTTTCACAGCCCGCCGGGCCACCCACTCGAAGGTGGAGTCCCCCAGCAGCCGGCTCAGGATCCCGAACTCCACCAGCAGGGAGCCGGCTCCGGCCGTGCAGGTCTCGTTGTTGCTGTCGGGAGGGACGCCCGTCTGCAGGTTCACCTGGGGACAGGGAGAGACAAGGATGCAGGCGCAACTCCGGGGACCCCTGGCTTGGCGGCGGGGCACGCCCACGGCAGCCACCCAGCTCACTGCCTCGCTCGGCCTCCGGGACGGGCAGCACAGTTTCAAAGACACAAACAAGACAACAGGGACTGGGGAGCCTCGTCTGCTAGTAAGAGCAGCCTCGGGCAGTCATCGGAGGGCTGCTCGCTAGTCCCCCTCCTTCCAGCAGGTTCTCCATGCGGTCACACAGCTCTGGGTCAGCCACGAGGGGCCAGGCCAGCTGGGATTGAGCGCCCATCTGCAGCAGCTGGGGGCTCGCTCCTGTTTGGAGAGCGTAAATAAATCCCAGGCTGCTGGGAGCGGGACCTGGGGACCCATGGCGGACCACCTGTCGCTGAGGTGCCGGGGCCTGGCCGTCCTCTGCTGGTCGCCCAAAGGCTGACCTGGTGCCCAGAGGAGCCTGGGCACATCCAGTGAGAAGCCTCGGGAGGAAACGGCAGGCCAGACCTGCATCGAGCACGGCGGCAACCTGGCCGGTCGGGGCGGGCTGTGCGGGGAAGGCCGGGGAAGAGCCTCACTGAGCTCCCCCAGCATCCACGGGAGGGTCCGGGGAAGTGCACCCAAGTCGGAGATGAAGACAAACCCCCAGACTCTTCTGTAGCAGGGGCTCGAGACCCCCTGAGGACCGGACAATATGGAGCGCAGGAACACATCTCCTTCCTTAAGCAGAAGGGTTATGTCCAGTATGTCCCTGAGTGCTCAGCACACAGTAAGTGCTCAGCAAACACTGAAAGGATTGAAAACCATTTACAGCACATTCGGGGCCAGATTCTCAGCGCTGCCCCGCCCACGCCGGCTCCCCCGGGAGACTGCAGGCAGGAGGGCGGGCGGTGGCGGCCTACCCGGGGGTAGGGGATGCCTGTCCTGGTGTTCTCGAAGGCCGGGAGCAGCCGCACGGCCAGGTCGCGGGCCATGTGCAGCAGCTCGTCGTCGTAGTCCTCCACTGTCATGTCCCCGAAGGGCTGATTGGAGTCCGTGATTATCCTGTGGGCGGAGAGGAGGCTCCCCAGGACCCTGGGGACAGGAAGGACAGACAGACACGAGGCGTGTCAGTAGGGCGGCACACCGTGGGGTCGGGAGGATGCTGCCGCTGTGACGCTGTGGGGCTCCGGGCGGCGGGAACCCGGAGGCCGGCTTCCTGGTGTTCTCTCCGGCCCACTTCTAGTCGGCTGAGTTGCGGGGAGGCAGCGAGGGGGCGCGACCCCACGTGACGTGGCAGCCGGGGCCTGTCACCTCAACCCCCTCGCCCGAGCGAGGGCTCAGATCGCTCCCAGAATAGATACTGCCTTTTAGTTCTAATGATTACTCTGGATTTCTCTCACGTGGGGAACAAACTTAGCGTTATGAGAAAAGAACTGGGCATGACAGCAAATACCGAGTAACTTTCCTTGTTTTGGCTGCCAAGCAACTGACAGGGAAGAGGTTGGTGAGGAAGAGGAGGAGGGGACCCACTCGGGGTAGGAGGCCACCAGCTTAGACCTGTCTCTGAAAAGTGGTGAATGCACGTCCCCTCCGATTCGAACGGCATTGTAAATGCTTTCACAATTCTAATGTCAAATCAATGCTATCTCTGGAATGCTACGCAGTCAGGCAATTTTAAACAACGAAATGGAAACACTCACACCCTATCAAGCTAAGGAGGAAAGGTATGAAACCAGGTGTGGAACACGTGCCCGACACGTGGGGAGAGACTCGAGGGGGGAAGCACGCCCCCGCAGTGGGAGAGGGGGGGCCTTTCCTGGGACACAGGGGAGGGAGGAAACGAGACCGGACTTGCATTAGGGGGCACTTCCTGTTCAGTCTGAAAAGTAACTACTCTGAAATGTCGGCGGTTGTGGGTTTGACAGATCCGAGAATGGAGACGTCCCCGCGTCCCCGCTCTCCTGGCCCGGGCCCCTCTCGGGCAGCCCTGGCCATACGCGCACACAGGGAGCCTCGTCACCTGGGGGCTGTGTTACCTTATCGTGGCCTCAAAGACTTGGACGGTGGAATCTTTGTCAAATGAAACTGTGTTGATCACTAACTTGACTGCTTTCTGGAACTCGGATGAATTTCCCATTATCTTTAAAAAGAGGAACACAAACCGTTATGACAGCCTGAGGCGGAGTGGGAGCTGAGGGGCCGCAGGGGCTGCGCCGCATCGCCTGGCCTCTGCGTGGGGTGGGGACGCCCAGGTGGCGCCCAGAGATGCTCGAGGACACACGGCAAGCCGCCTCCTCCAACTGCGCGGCCACGTCTGCGAACGGCAAACGGGCACAGGGCCCCCGTAAGATCACGGGCACCCTTGCCTGCCCCTTCCGTGCTCCCTCACATGGGGTGTTAGAGGTCCTCAAACTCTGGAAATGGCAGAACGGGAAGAAACAAAGATATGACCTCCCCTCTGCTGCGCAGACACACCAACAGCCTGGGTGCCCGGGATGCGGCCCAGATGTCTGAGCGCCTTGAGAAGTAGAAGCGCTGTCTCTTGGAGCCAAGTGTCACACCAGTGACGTGAGAAACAAACACTGTGACAGTCAGCTCTGTCCTCCTACGAACGTGTCCAGAACTGCGGTTCCCGTTGGGGGCGAGGCAGCACACCACGCAGGCAGCTCTCTCACAAAGTGCGAGCCAGGCACCGGCACGCTCAGAGTGACCTGGACTGGAACGCTTCCGTGCCGTTCAAAGCTTTGTGACGCCACCAAACGCGGCCACTATTTCTCGCAGGTTCCCCCGAGTCCTGGCACGACCTGGTCTGGGGGGGCCCTGCCCCACGTCCACTTCCCCGTGCCGCACGGAGCAGCGCAGATGTCTCCCCTCTGGCCCGGAAGCTCTTCCTTTTTAAAAGATCCTGGGGTCGGGCTGCAGGCTGCGCCCCCCCGCCAGGAGACCGCTATCTTCGAGGGGCTGAGCTCTGCTCTGACACGCTGGTGTGCTGGCACAGCCATTGGAGCTTGTTTGGAATGTCACCAAAGAAAAGGGAAACCTCAACAGAGGTAGCTCCTGAAAAACAAGCCTGAGGTGGGAACACAGCAAAGGCCGGACGTTGTGCAATGAAACCGCAGAGGGCCCACTTCATCCAGACGTGCACCAGCACGAACATCTGCCGCCAGCCGGACCCCAGCTCGAGTGGAAGGTGGAGACGAAAGCCACCACGGCCGCTCGGGGCTGGGATTCACCACTGCTGCCAGGACAGATGGCAGGTCTGAGACCCTCACTCCGCTCCAGAGGGCAGGATGGGACGGGCAGCCGGTCTCCGTGCTGTGGGGCTCCAGAGCCTCTGAAGCGCTGGGGTGGGCGTGGCACTCCAGCAGGGAGTCAGACATGCAAACTCGCAAGTTCCCTCGGGGACAGAACCCTACTTTCAAGGAGGGTGCCCTTGGGGTCTGAGATAAGGTCCTGAACTTGAGGAGCATGGCAGGGGCCCAGAGACACACAGGGCAGGAGAGCTGGGCTCTCGCAGCTGCATAGGAGTCCGGGACTTTGTGACGCAACCCAGCCTGTTATGTTGGTGGAGTCAGCTCCAACTGGGCCGGAGGTGCTGGTCTGGGCACGCCTGGTGGCGGGTGACGAAGTCAGAGTGACGGAGGCTGGAGGAGAGGCCGCAGTGCTGCGCTCCCCCAGCCTGGCGGGACCCCACCCGATTCCTTGTGAGACCGAGGGCCTCGCCAGCCCATCCAAGTTCTGGTGCTTCTCCCACAGAGTGAGTCTGATGCAAGCCCCGCCGGTGTTGCGCAACTCTCACAGCTGACACTTGAACCTCTCACAAGGAAAGTGAGAGGTGGCGTAAGCTACAGAACACGGGACTGGGGCCTAAGTGGCAGGGGTCTTCTCTCTCGAAGGCTGGCTGGACGACGAAGGGCAAAGACTCTACAACATCGCCTGGGGCACGGTCCCCTGGGAGCTGTGCTCACTCAGGGGGTCAGGAGACCAAGCACTCGTCCGGCCTGGTCGCCAGCACCTCCCACAGGGCTGGCTGCTTCCCACCGGCTCAGCGAGTCTGGTCCCAGGTCATCCGCTCCCTGGGGCTGATGAGGGGTCAAGGCAGCACCCACAGAAACAGGGAGGAAAGGAGGTCCCCAGAGAGGCACCGATGCAGGGCCAGACAGGGCTCCCACATGTTCCAGGGCCCAGGAGTGGGACAATGTGTCCAGGGACCCTCCGACCCTGAGTTCGTCTCTCTTAATCCTGAAAGCTTTTTACTGCTGTCCAAGTTCACAGTCACTGTAAGCTCTAATGAAATGCTCTTTTGATTCTTTGAGGGAATAAAATAGTGGGAGACTGGGAGAAAAACTGTTCCCCCCAAATCACCCCACTTTCCTCTCCATTTTTTAGGGGATCACATTTTCCTTGTCTCTCCTTTGAGGCTGTTCTTGCCCCAGGAATTAAGGTTGATAAAAGACTCAAGTTTGAGAGCTAGAAATACAGTTCGAGTGTCAGGTTTGCTGAAATTCCCATCCCTGGAGAAACTAGGATTACCAAACTCCAAAATGCCTTAATTAATTAAAAAAATTAGGCTGGATACTTACTGCAAGTGTATCTAATGCATCAACCAGTGTGAGTGAGTAGTTCCCCAGGACATCGTTGATGTTCAGATTGGAACTAAAAGAAGAACAAAGCAAACAAAGGTGCTTTATTCTAAAAGAGAAGAAAGACAGCAAAACCCCACATCCGTCCGAAACGACATCGGCTGGTAACTCGTTTCTTCAGGGAGTGAGGACGACTCAGGGTGAATGAAGGTGGCCACGGTCTTCCCTCTCTCGAGCCCCATTTCTGTGATGCCTGCAGGTTGAACTGAGACACAGAACGGCAGAGATGGCCCTCCACCACAGAGGAAAGGAGACCCAACCGAAGTCAGCAGCTGGTGACAAGTCACCTGCCACCTCTGGAACGCACTTCCGTCACCCTAAGTGATCTCTCCGCTCAGCTTCAACAAGCTCAGATTTTGAAGCCACTTGCAAGGTGGAACAAAGAGGGTTAAGAGTCCGGTGTGGGGCCTGCTCCAGACACCGCAGGCTGCGGAAGTCAGCCACGCCCCTAACACATCTCGGTCCTGGGTCCGGGGTGGGGTCGGTTCACTCCTTCCTCCCTGACACCGCACCCAAAGAATCAGGATTCTTCCGGATTCCGAGATGGGCTCTAACAGGACAGGACAGAGGCTGTGTCGCTCCTCCTGCCCCTCCCCACACCGACAGGGCTCCCCTCTCTGAGGTGCCCTGGGCACTCTGACGGGCTACCGTAACACTGCCTGTGACAATGACAACTCACGCACCCGGAAGGGCAGGGAGGAACAAGCAGTGAATGTCATCCCGGCAGCCCAACAAGTTCTGGGGGTGGCGTGGGGATCGGGGATCCTGCTGCCCCACCCCCACAACCCATAGCAACTGCAGAAGCTCAAGAAGGTGAACGCAAGGGGAGAAACACGATGGCTATTTACAGACCGAAGTGAAAGAGCCCCAGTTCTCCCGCCACCGGTACTCTGGTGCCTTCTGTCAACCCCAGATGGCTCTGTCTACTCCATGGGACACTTGCATGGGTCCTGTCCCACCTGCTCGGTCGGACCCATGGCCTGAGAGGGAGCAGGTGGCAGCTCCGTGGGGCAGGCACCTTGACCTTCAGGAGCCTCCTGGGTGCCCTGTTTTATGACGTTACGCCACTTAATCTGGGGCAAAGCCCAAACTGCACATTTTAGACCCTTTTTTTTTTTTTAAAAAGCTTGTGCAGAAAGAAGTTTGTCTAGATCAGTGGCTGTCTCGTGTCTCACAGGCCACAAAGCCAGTGCACCGCAGGGCCGTGACCCCGTCCTGCCCACTTCTTCTGTCCATCCATGCTTTTTGCTTGAGATTTTTATTTGTTTATTTTTAGAGAGAGAGGGGGAGGGAGGGAGAAACAGAGGGAGAGAAACATCAATGAGTGAGAGAGACACGGATCAGTTGTCTCTCAACGCCCCCAGGCAGGGGCCTGGCCTGCAACCCAGGCGTGCTCCCTGACCAGGAATCCAACTGCTGACGTTCTGGTTGGCAGGCCGGCGCCCAATGCGCTGAGCCATTCCAGCCAGGCCTGTCCGTTCTTTCTAAACAAATGTAAAGAACTGCAGAAGGCCCTCGACAGATGAGAGCTACGGATGGGAGTCAGCACCGTAAGGGCGCTGCCTGCTGCAAGGCGCACGGGATCTGCGGAAAGTTGGAGAAGTCAAAGCAGGCGGGGGGCAGCCTCATACCCAGTCCCGCCAACTCCAGGCTCTGTCGGGCATCGACACTGAACTGCACGGCTCTGCTGCTCAGAAACAAAGAGAGGCCTCCGACCACCCACCCTGCGCGAGGGGCCCCATCCCCGCTGGGGCGCTGCAGGCTTCCCACGTTTCACTGCGCCTTTCCCTTCAGGCTTTAGTAAAGTGGACCCGGTTTTGAAACACCTGCCGCTGCAACACCCGAGCAGTCACCAACGACGAGCTATTGCGTGCGCTGCCACGGAGAACGAGCATTCGCAGGGACGGGGCCCTTCTGTCCACCCAGTCAAACCCACTCAAAGCGCTAAGGCACGGGTGGCAAACACAAGGCCTGTGGGCCACCCTCCCCCTTGCTTCTCCTCCTTGCTTCTCCTTAAGGAGCAGTTACATTTATACCGTCCCCAAATTACATCCGGCCCTCTGAAGACAACCGCAGGCTGATGTGGCCCCTGGTGAAAGTGCGTTTGACACCCCCGCGAGGTGTCCATTGAAACACTTCTACCTCTTTCCTATCAGATCATTGCTCTCTACACGCTTTCACAATGTGCCACGAGGGAAAAGAACGACGGGCGGGGCGTGACGAAACGAGCAGGCTCTGGAAGGCCCTCTTGGCCTAAACCACCAAACCATCGTGAGTCCTTTGTGGCAAATGACAATGCCGGCGAGAACGTGGATTTGTTTTCAGTGGAGACTCCTGACCGCTAGCTGGCCACTTCGACCCCATTTACCTGCTGCAAGCCCGGCGCTGGACCTCCCAGTGCAAGGCTGGGCTCTAAACTTTCCGTCTTTCCGTCACACTGGCGGGGAGCACCGTGGTGACGCAGAATCCCACCCCCCCACACTTCATGACTTTCTCCCCACTATAAACTGTTAAGGCCTTCGACAGAAAATTTTTGATCACAGTTAACCAAATCAAACGTGTAAAAAAACCCTCCCACACATATGTAACCTGTGCCGGCTGCTCAGGACTCTGCCTGCAGCTGGGAGGGCACAGGGGGGACCTAGGGAGCAGCCCTGTGCTCTAGGGTCCGGAGGCCCAGGGGGACAGGCAGGGGGAACAGGGCTTGGGTCTCAAATGATGTTAGAAGCTGGGCAGCAGCTCAAAGGAAAGCAGCCCAAGGAGAATGGAGTTGATCCAGGAAAACCATCTTCAGACAGGTCAGTGGGGTCACAGAGGACTTGGGCCTGACCTTGACGGAGGACAGGATCTAAGAGCGAGGGATGCAGGTGAGACCCTCTTAAGACAGGGGTGCCTAGGAATGAGTCGGTTTGGGGGTTGGAGATTTGCATTTTTGTTCGAATAGCAATACAGTTGGGAGACAGCAAAGAAGGGTCGTGTGCCGAAGACCCAAATTACCACTGTTCACAGGACTGCAGAAGTGTATACTCAATTCACTGGAAGGAGATTTTTTTTTTAGATTTTATTTATTTATTTTCAGAGAGGGAGGAGGAAGGGAGAAAGAGAGGGAGCGAAACATCAGTGTTGGTTGCCTTTTGCACACCCTCACCCAGGGATCTGGCCTGAAAGCCAGGCATGTGCCCTGACTGGGAATCAAATTGGTGACCCTTAGGTTCACAGGCCGGCACTCAGTCCACTGAGCCACACCAGCCAGGGCTGGAAGGAGCTTTGAATTTGGACCCTCCACCCCAAATTGGGGATGTGAGAGGAAATGACTTTGCATAGTAATCTGTAGCTGGGCGGAAAGACTTGTCTCTTTTTTTTTTAAAGGGTTCAGGTTCTACTAACTTCATGTTAACTAACCCCCTGTCACTAGTCAAACAAGACGGTGAGATGAGACTGGAGAAATGTGACTAAAATAAAAAGATACACATGTTTAGTGCCCACATTTTGTTTCTGAACCTTTTACATAACATTCAATTAGCAATGCTACTCTATATTTTAAAAAGGAATCCTAAGAATACATTTGACAGCAATCACTGGAATACATTTCATTTTTTAAAATGTTGACGCGGGCCTGTGAACCCAAGGATCGCGGTTCGATTCCCAGTCAGGGCACGTGCCTGGGTTGCAGGCCAGTTCCCAGCCAGGGGACGCATGAAAGGCAACCATACATTGATATTTCTCTCCCTCTCTCCTTCCCTTCCCCTCTGAAGATAAATAAATAAAATCTTTTAAAAAATAAATAAAATGTTAGGCCTTGACTGGTGTGGCTCAGTGGACTGAGCATGGGCTGCACTCGAACCAAATCACCGGTTTGATCCCCAGTCAGGGCACATGCCTGGGTTGCAAACCAGGTCCCCAGTAGGGGGCGTGCGAGAAGCAACCACACATTGATGTTTCTCTCCCTCTCCTTCTCCCTCTCTAAAGATAGATAAATAAAATCTTTAAAAACAATAAAACATTGGAGAGATTTTTATTTATCTTGCAGATGAGAATGTACCTTACTGTTTCTGAGAGAAACAAACCACTTTATTTTATTTTTTTAAGATTTTATTTCTTTATCTTTAGAGGGGAAGGGAAGGAGAGAGGGAGAGAAACATCAACGTATGGTTGCCTTTCGTGTGTCCCCTGCTGGGAACTGGCCTGCAGGGAACCAGCCTGCAACCCAGGCATGTGCCTTGACTGGGAATTGAACCTCGATTGTCTGGTTCGCAGGCCCATGCTCAATCCACTGAGCTACACCAGCCATGGCCACAAACCACTTTAAAAACTCTGCAAGACCCCTGAGGTTCCTTTCCAAAGCCTAAGGGTTGGGCTCGGCTCACCTGCTTTTCACCAGACGAGGATGAATCTGAGTGGGAACCGTCCAAAGAGCCCAGGGTCTGAACTTCGCTTGAAAACACTCCAGTCTGGGCAGAGTTCAGGGGAGGGACTGAGAAAACTTAACCTTGCCGCTCTTTGGCCAAGTCCAGCGGGAGGGTCTAGTCAAGGCCCCCAAACCTGGGCTCTTTCACCTCAAAGACTCCAGCTCCAACTCCTACCCAAACACCACCCTTCACACGCTGCCTTTCCAACAGCCTACGTGTCTCAAGCAACCTGACCTCAGCCTCCCCAGAACGGTACTGTACAATGAAACCGAAACACTCGCCAGCAGGCTTACCCCAGAACCAAAGGCCTGCGCCACCCCGGACTCCCGCGGGGACACCAGCTGCCAGCTGCCCCTGGCGAGGGGCTCCAGGTCTCCAGAGTGCTCTCAGGTTCATTAAGAAACACACAGAAATGTCACTGACTCACTCTCTGGACCACAGGGTCCCAACTGGAAAGGTAGCTATCACAAGTCCTCACTACACTGTTTTTCTCAGGCCCACCCCAAAAACGGAAACCAGAGAAAAAGTCTCTGAGAGGCAAGAGGGTACTTTCGAATGTGTTCTGCCCCTTCTGTAACCCCATGAGCAGGTGGGAGAAAACACTAAGATTTGAAACATGCCCACACACTGCGACTTCAACCTGTAAAGAACGTGTAAGCGCAGGGGCAGGAGCTGGCAGGAAAGGTCGCCTAAAAATAACTGCTGGCATGTGAGGCTTTTTCAAATTTTAATTTTTCTCAAAAACTTACGGTAAAAAATATATAGGTTTAAAAACCAGTATAGTTAAGCAAAAGGAATAACTCATTAATTCCCATAATCTAGAAAGGCCCAATAACTTCTTTCAATATTTAATAAAATTTTGAAAAGTATTTTATTTTTAAAATATTTTTTATTTATTTTGCAATTTTTTTTTTAGACAGAGGGAAGGGAGGGAAAAAGAGAGGGAGAGAAACATCAACATGTGGTTGCCTTTTATGTGGCTTCCACTGGGGACCTGGTCCGCAGCCCAGGCCTGTGCCCTGACTGGGGATCGAACCAGCGACCCTTTGTTTGGTTCACAGCCCATGCTCAATCGACTGATCTACACCAACCAGGGCTTAATAAAACTTCTTCTTTAAAAAGAAAAGATAGAAAATACATTCAAGTGTATAAAGACTGATACAGAAAAGCGAGAAAGAAATCAGTTTCCTCCAATTTTGGAAAGACCCACCCTTCCTTAGAAGACAACCTGGGATGTGACCATGCGTCCCTGAAAATCACGCTCTCAAACTGCAGTGTAAGACGTTACCCGGTAGAGAAACAAACCACTTTAAAAACTCTCCAAGTCCCTTTAGGTTCCTTTCTAGAACCTACGGGTTGGGCTCATCTGCTTTTCACCAGGTGAGGACGAACCTGTGTGGGAACCGTCGGAAGGCACCCACAGGGCGTGGTCCCCAAGGAGGGAGCAGCCTGTCTCCTCTGCTTCCACCTTTGGGGTGGGGGGGCACCCCGAAGGAGGCAGTCACCTATCTGGCCTGACAGGGTCAGTGACAAGGTGCACCTTCCTCCGCTGAGGAGGTCCTTAGCTGGGTGTGCTGTCCTCTTGGACTCTGAGGTCAACAGCAGTGGCCCCTGAAGCTCGGCCTTCACAAACAAGGGGACTGGCTGAACTTCCCCGAGGGCTCTGCCACCAGAGTGGGGAAATTTATGGGACAGACATACAGGGCAACACGTTGACAGTCAACTCGGGGGCAAGGAATCGTACCCTGAGTATCAGGACCGCAAATCTGGGCCAGACGGCCTCTCCTCCCTTCACCTGAGTATTCACAGCCTAAGAAGCAGCCCCATGCTGAAGGAGGAAGGGTGTCGCCCTGTTCTGCCTCAAACTCCCTAAAGGGCTTTACAGGAGTCCTTTCCCGGGATCAACTCCTGAATTTTTATATTTTCAGATAGAAAAGCTAGGGGTGGGGAGAGAGAGATAGGGGCTTGCTCGGAAGTTGCGTTTAAACGGCTTTCATTTTACTGTACGTTCATCTGAAGAAGACTGGAGATGGGAGTCTAAAGCCCCTCAAGTCACTGCTTGGCATTACCCGGTCCCTTCCGGGCCCCGGGCCTCAGTTTCCCTATCTGTGAAAGAGGCTGCGTTGGGTGGCTGTCCTGTAGTTCCGGATTCCGGGATAATCAAGAAAGAAGACAGCCCCCGGCCCACCCAGCACCGCAAGCTCAGTGGGCCTCATGGGGACCAGCTAAAGCGGTGGGGGCGCCGACCCAGGACCCTAAGCGCCTGGCTTTTCCTGGAGCACCGGCAGGCAGAGGGCAGTCGGGCGCGGAGAGCTACTTACGGGTCCCCGCGGTCAGGTCCACGGCCGCGGCAATCTATAGGGTTGAGCTCGTCCTGCGGAAAGGCATGAGCCATGTAGTTGTCGTAGCCGAAGACGAACATACCCCGCGCCAGGTCGCGCATCTGGGCGCGCAGCTGCGGCGGGAAGGCGCCGCTATAGCGCCGCTCGTACTCGTCCGGGCCGCGGCCACAGCCGCCCAGCACATCGCCCCAGTGCGAGGGGCCGCACACGCCCGGCCGTGGCCGCCGCGGGGCCCGCTGCCGCCCCGCCGATGCCCCGGGCCCCGGCGACTGCAGCCACGATGGCCCCGCCGTCCGGGGCCGGTCCGCGGGCCCCGGGGTGGGAGACCCGGGGCCGTCCGGGCCTGTCAGGCGTTGGAAACCGAAGCTGAGCGGGAAGCGCTGGTAGAAGCCCATGCTGGGCCCCAGCCCGAAGACGAGCCACAGCGCTCCTTGGAGGCCAAGCCGCAGGAGCAGCAGCCCCAGGACGAGCGCTCGCCATTGCATGGTCTCGCGGACGCCGCAGGCATCCTCCTAGCGCGCGGGGCCTTCCGCCACCGCACCCGCGCCGGCCGCCGCCTCGCTTGCTTCCCCTTTAAGGAACTCCGGGGTGACGCACCAGGAACCGGCCCATTGTCTCCCTCCCCTAGCCCCTCCAGCCCGGCCCTCCAGGCCTCGAGTTCGCCCGCCTGGTCGCCCGGGATTGGCCCAGCCCAGCCCGGTCTCGAAAGGTGCGGCGCACGACCTCCCGCGCCATAGGTCGCCCGGACATCCGCGAGTCCCGCCCGCTCTGCCCGAGGCCACACCTCGGCCTGGCCACGCCCACGCGCCTGGCCCCACCCCTGGGCGGTCCAGAGTCCCGACCGGCTGGCGTGGCGAGTAGAGGCCGCTCAGACTCCGGGCGACGGAACTTCCAGCCAATGGGAGCGCGGCACGGGAGCGCTCGCAGGGCGCCGGCGGAGACGTAATCTCGACCCGCCGGGCGGAGCTAGGACTGGACGGAGCCATCCAGCTGCAGGTCCGGGTTGGTGACAGTTAAAATATGTGAGGAAAGAGGAGGGACAGGGCCATTTCTGTGTAGAAGGAGCTACTCTGCATAGCAAGGGCAGAGGTAAAAAATTTTTTTTCAATTACAGTTGACTTTCAGTATTATTTTATGTTACTTCCAGGGGGACAGCATCAGAAGGGTGTGGTTAGACAGTCGTATACTTTACAAAGTGACCCCCCCCCGATATTTTCAGTGCCCACCTGACACCATACATAATTACTACAACATTGGCCATATTCCCTATGCTTTTTTTTTTTTTAACATCCCCGTATTTTGTAACTACCGGTTTGTACTTCATAATCCCTTCACCTTTCCCCCAGAAGGGCAGGGTTTTTAACTCGCCTGTTTACAGCGAAGGGGTAGAATACCACTTTTTAGTTCCGGATTGCACAAGACACTATCCTGAATCCTGCTGTTTTTATTAGAACACTAATTTGTAAGAACCGCTCATCTAGTGTAAAGCACACGTTCTTAGACCCGGTCTTAGTTAGACCCGGTCTTAGACCTGGTCCCAGACCCACCGAACTCCAGCGGAGGCTCCCAGGAATGCGTGTTAACAAGTGCTCTTGGGAGATTCTTAGCATCTGGCAATTTCAGGAACTACTGGGTTAGGTTGTATTGTCTTGGTCTCGAAATAAGACCTTGAGAAAGGAGCGGGGGCGGTGCGGGAGGGGTCGAGAATGCTGCCACCTCCCCCCCCCCAATGATTTTCACTGGAGCTGTCGAACCAGGTCCCCTCCTGCCCCCCCCCCCCCCCCCGCGTGTCTCCCGTGCGCTGCAGCCCAGCTGTACCCAAACCTTTCAGGTGCGGGCTAGACCCCTGATCGGATCACTTTACCCCGCACATGCTGGCTCTGAAGGGCTGTGGCTTTCCTGCAACGATTCAACAGGGGTTGTTTCCTTTCGTTGGCTGCATCCGGTGACGCCTGCTAAGGTTTGCTCTGTAAGTTTAGACTTTGTGCCCGTTAGGCCAGGTTCCCGAGAAGCTTGGGAAGCAAGGCCTGATGGGAGTCCCAAATCACAGACTGGCTGAGGGACCAAGGGAGATGACTAAGAGGATGACAAAGTTGTCATGTGGCACGCTCGTCACGTTCTCAGGGTCAGGGGACTTTTTGCAACACAGGAGGTGTAAGGGAGACTGGAAAGGAGCCCGAGGAAGCATTTAATTACAACACAAGGTCTAATGAAAACAAATCCCTTCTCATAGTGGAACAAAATCACCCAAATTATGAAAGATGCTTTTTATGGTAAGACTGACAACAGCTGCCAGTTGTATACGTCTTGTGGTTTTCAAAATATTTCATGTATGTTTTCATTTACTCATCACAGAAAGCCAGGTAAGGTCTATTGTACATGCCAAAAGGGAAGAAATTGGATTGGGAGCTCAAGTTCTCTGAGTTAATAGGCTCTCTGCAGAAAAAGAGCGACTGCTCAGGTCTCCCACATACGTCCCGAGAGATGTACCACCACCAGCTGGCCCTCAGAGCAGACCACCTGGTCTGGCTGTGCTTCCCAACCACAGCCCAGGCAACGTCTTCAACATCAGTGCCTGGCTGGGCGCAGGGCCAGGGTCAGAAGTGTTTCCTGCTCGAATTACACTGACCCAGATGAAAATGCAGTATCTGCTGCTGGCCCTTTAGGTTGGACTAGAACTCCCTTCAAGGTAAATAAGACTGGAACAACACTGTATCTAATCAGACACCCGGCCCGAAAAATCAGTTCTTTTAAGAAACTCAGTTTTGTGATGGGCTTTTCTGCACATAATCTGTCAAGAGTGTCGAAGGACAGATAAAAAGATCCAAAACGAAGTACATCAAACTGAAATACACTATGGGAAAATAATTTACTCGGGGAGCTGCCAAAAAGACGACAGCCAAGAACCCAGACTCAGAAGTGCGATCACCAGGGGTGTTCAAACCATAGCTCTGCCAGCCGAGTGACCTCGAGAAGTTACTTCTCCGGACCTGTTTGCTCACCTGTGAAACGAGGGTGCCAAGGCCAGCGCTCGCAGTCCTGTGCGGCTGAGAGGCCGAGACTGTAACGGAAGGCACACACTGACAATGGGGCAGTGACGTCAGTGCCTGGTGAGCGCTGACGACTCCCCTTCATTCTGTGACTCCCAAGCCCGTTCAGAGCACCTGGTACAGACACACCTGAGGTCTGCCGGAGGAATTAAAGTACGCCCCTCCCCCCCATTTTCAAAGCACTGTTTTAGGAGGGAAAAACGGGCTAAGAAAATAGTATAAAATGGGACAAGGGCTAAAACACCACGGTCCAAGAAGAGCTGAAAAGGCCCTGCGTCCTGCAGTTCTATCCCACTCCGCCCGGGCCAGCGGCACCACACTGCACCCCACGTCTCTTTGGGGTGCGGTCACATCCCAGTGGTGATCCAAGTTCAGTCTCCCTCTTTGATGAAGGAGGTGAGAAGGCCTGCGTGGGTGTCAGTGCCTTTAAAGACACCTTCCATTGTGTGGAAACCGGCACAGTCCCATTCTGGGAGCCAGTCGCGTGACTCTGAGTGCATGAGTCAGCGCGCCAGGTCCCTAAACCGCAGCCAGCACCAGCGGAAGGCTCTGTCCTGCCAGGATCCCAGAGCTTGAATCAAATATCGGGGTTAACAGAGCCTATTAAAAGAAGGGGTTTTCCTACCCTAAGAAGTTAGAAATACTTTGTTGTCCAAAGCAATGATGTTATAAACTCAAGTAATGTGATGATGGCTTTTAAAACCGATTTTTGTGTCTTTCTGAAGCAATATATACGTACTTTATAAGGGGGCGATCAACTTAAGTGAAAAAAGAAATAAATAAAAGGGGGGTTACCTGAATCCCACTATTAATTTGGTGAAGAGCCAACTCTAGAAATAAGGTAGTATTTTCCCACAGCCTGATGAGAGCTAAATTGCGCATTTGGTTTAAAATCGAGCAGTGCATGACTGTTCACCAATTGGATGGGCAGAAACCCATGTCTGGCAGCGCCCTGCTGGAGAGACCCAGGGGCCGGAGGCTGGTCGGAATAACAACTGGTATGCCCGGGAAGGGCGCGTGGCAGCTCCCACACCGGTACGAACGCTCTTACCCGCTCACCCGGACACGCTTCTGCGCACGGCTGCACCGCACGGCTGCACCGCACGCCACCATCCACTGCGGTTAATGCTGAAGAGCGAGAGGTTACAAACACCCGAGTGTCTGTCAGTGGGGCCGGTCACTAGACCCCCAGTCCCCACCGTGAGACCCACACCCGTGGGAGGCAGGCTGTCGTGAAAGGGTCGAGGAACCTGCTCTGCAGCTGTGGGAAGGTCCCAGGACAGGCGACGGGAGGACAGGTGTGGGCGATTGGTGCACTGCCTTCGGTGTCAGAGAGGGATTAAACAAGAGCCTGCGTACTTCTACTCGCTTGTCACGAGTAAGAAACTGATACCAGGGTTCCCTGTAAGGCCAGGGTGGTGCTCACTCAATCGTGGGTGGGGTCCAGAGCTTGTGTCTTTTATGTATTTTTAATTTTGAATTATGGGACTTAACTGTTAAAAATCAGTGTGTTCCCAAATAAAGATAGTGGTGAGCTTACTGTCCCACTGAATCAGGAGCAGCCCTTACCCATCAAGAACTGAGGTTTACCCCCGTGTCTTGTGCCCTTAGGTTACTGATGCTTCTGGATCAGATCGACCCCCTTTCCAGGGCGGGGTGAACTGGTGCTTTCACGGATTAGCTGGTGTCATGGCAAATAACAGCAAGTCCTTTCTCCCTGGAGAATGATACCAACAGAACAGGAAACACCCAATTCAAGTGCTGGGTAACTAGAAAGGATACAGATTTACAAAGCTCAGGGTCCACAACCCCTCCAGGGTTACCGAGGAGCTGGCTGGAGGAGAGAACGTAAGTAGCAGCCCTCCGCATCCTACTTGCCATGTTCAAAAGGGCAGGCAAGGGCTCTGCTGTCTCCCCCCAACTCTCCCCCCAACCCCCACCTCTGCCCTCATTACGGTCAAAGGAAGCAGCTTCCGAAAACTGGTCCAGGGTTCTCTAGCAGAAACTAGCGATGCAGCAGCTATGAAGTGTTAAACGTTAGTTCTTCCAGGGGTGTCCAATCCTCGGCCCGCAGCCCACACTCAGCCCGGGTGGCTATGAATGCAGCCTGACACAGAATCATAAATTTACTTAAAACCCTTTTTTTTGCAGCTCAGTTTCCGTTAGTGTTTGTGTATTTAATGTGTGGCCCAAGACAACTCCAATTTCAGTGCAGCCCAGAGATGCCAAGATGTTGGACACCCCCTGCATGGTTCACCCCCAAACTGGGATGTATTTGTCCACACTGTACACCAATATACAGTTCTGCTTTCACCTTCTTAAACGGCTTTAAATAGAGCACGCTCAAAACGTTATTGTATCACTTTGCAAAATGCCTGTGGTCTCCAGCCCTTAATGTAAACATTTCTGTGTTTTGCATTACTTTCCAGGGGGAGAAACATGCAACAATAACATTCACTAGGGTAAGTTGGCATTTTCATTTCTCTCCTGTTTGACCAGAGTCCAAATCTCTAGGCTGCTAGAACCACGGCCGGTTAGTGGAAGAAATTCTCTACAGGAAATGACGGGGGCAGAGGGGGCCCAGCACCTTGGCAGTCACACAGTCACCAGCGCGGGAGCAAGCTGGTGGGTCCCAGTGCTCGTCGATGGAGCCAGGCTCCGTGAACATCCCCAGATGGGGATTCGTTTCTGCTCCATCCCTTTCTTTTATGAATGATGCCCCAGTAGAAAGCTGGGCTGAAGTACCTTCCCTGGCCCGTTCCTGCCGGGAAACCTGAATTTCCTTAATCAGCGCTGCCTCAACATTTTCGGGTAGGTGTGCCTTACTGAGGGCGGGGCGGCAGGGACACAGCAATGAGGGGCGGCCGCCTGCCGGCTGCGGACCTACCCTGGGCTTTGCGCCTAGTGTACCAACGACCTGCGCCATTGCCTCTGCCTCCCCGAGAACATCCAAGAGGCAGCAGCCGCTCCAAAGTGCCCGTTTTGCTGAGCGGCTGAATTTTACAAAAACCGTGGGGAGGGTGTTCACAGGTGAACAGGAAGCACCTGCAGGGGCTGCGGCCGGGTGTGCGTTTGTGGAACGGCTCGTCTAAGGGCGGTCGGCGGGGCAGGTGCTGCTTCGCTGCCCTCCTTTTCAGTGTCTTTGCTGACCACACATGTCACAGAGGGCACCCCCTCCGAGACTCGTAACACAACGAAGACATTTCAAATTCTCAACACAGTGGTGTCCTCAGAGGAAGTGGTGACTTCAAGGAAGTCATTTGGCTGAATGGACATGACAGCTATGGTGCTGGCGACGGTGGACTGAAACTTCCACGCCAGCCACAGTCGGCCAGGCCCGGGGGGCCGGAGTGGCCAACTCCACCGGATGTCAGCGCGACGGAACCCTCGGGGTGGGATGAACACACAGGTGACGAGTCCCTCAGCCAGGACGGTGAGCACCACCTGCAGTGGCCCCCGGCCAGTGTGGCCAGTTTACCTGACAGTCAGAGAGACTAATTTTAGAAGTCTCAGTTTCCAGAGTCAGATATAAACTTAGAATCAAGGGTGAAGTAAGCTAATTTCATACCCCGACCCCACACCCTCTCTCTCACCTTCACAAACCGCTTGGATTGGAGGGCGGTGAGAGCAGGGCCAACGTGATGGCTCGACTAAATGGCTCCCCCAAGTCAACGGGGGAATTTTACCCTCACAGCCTAGGGACTCCGGTCCCCGAGCTGCGAGGTCATACGTCTGACCGGCTGGCAGGTTTGGCTGTGCAGACGGGCAGTGTAACTCACAGAAGGAGCCAGGTGGAACTCAGCCCTGGGTAAAAACAGACCCCACCACTCCTCCAACCGCTCCGGGAGACGAAGGTTCGCGTCTGCAGTGCAGGAGATGGCAGGTGCACGGGCGGAGGGGGCCAACCGCCTCACCTGGGAAAACTGGTCTGAGTATTTTCTTTCTGGAGCTGAAGGAGGCATGACTTGCAGTTTGTTTACTAGTAGAGTTTTGATGTGGTTTTTAAAACAACTGGATTATAAGGTGCTGAACTAGCTCTTGCCACTTTAAAGGTCGTAAATTTGCTGTGTCCTGACGGTTTACGAGCCCTAGCACCCGTGGTACCCACCCTAAAAAGGAAGTTCCAATCACATGGGCATTTTAAAGTTTATTTCTTTTTGAACGAGCCGACAGACCCGTCCCTTGCTAGCTGAGCTGGCTTCTCCCAGCCCACGGCCCACGGCCCACGACCCATGGCCCCTGCTCAGAGAAACTCCCTTCTCCGCCTCCGCCCGGCAGGAGCGCACCCTCCGCCATGACACGCACGCTTCAGTTTAAAACTGTCAATACAACCCTCAAAATGCAAGTTTATTGAATAAAGCTGAGAAGAGCAGTAAACAGATGAAAATGCATCCACCTAAATAGAAAATTCACGTATTTACAGAGTTCAGTAACTGCAAAGTTTTCACATGCAGAGGTTAATGCACGGGAGAATGGGGGTGGTGGTGTCTGGGTGTCCCGAAAAGCTGAAAGCAACGGACAGACACAGGAGCGCGTTCAGGTTGAGCCACAGGTCCAGTCGTGCACTCACGCGGCCCCTACAGCCACGCAGTCCAGTCCCGGTTCCTCCTTCCAGGCACGAGCTCGGCGCCACGTGCCAAGCACGGCTCACAGCAGCCGCGCCTGGGGTGGAGCCCCAGCAGTGAATGCAGCCGTCCCTCGACCCACAGAGCTGTCCGCCCTGTCGGGGAGCATGTAACACGCTTCAAAGAACGAGGACACAATGTGAAGAGCCGTGACTCTACTCGTGAGGAGGTGGCCGGAGAACACAAGTGGTACCTGTGCAACACGGTGTGGTTGCGTGTGCATGAGAGTGTTATGGCAGTGGCAGTCCACAAAGGAAAGTGGGAGTTCATGGGAGGACTCGCCGTGTGTGCGAAGCACAGTGCCTGCAGGCGTAGCACGGCCAAAGGGGTGAGGCCGCGGGACTGCGGGGCCACCCAGAGGCGGGCGAGCCTCACTTGCACCTACCCCGAGTGGTCTCATGAGCCCGTTCACGCGTGCGTAAGTGGGAACATGTCCCCTTAGGAACTGGAGACCACTCGGCTCCAGAGCAGGCTCGGTGGAGTGTTCACGCCCCTGCCTCCTGGAGACTGCAGCCAACTACTGCAGGCCCTCGGTTCCACGTGTGACCAATCATTGGACAACCTGCAGACACTCCACTGGCAGCGTCAGACAAGGCAGGCCAGTCCCCAGTCGTCACAACGAGTGCAGTGTCTAATGGCACCAAGCACAAGGGCGCTGGGCTTGCCATCAGTGAGACAGAGTGGGCAGGACTTTCTGTTTACGAGTGTCTGCGCCGTGTGAGCTGGCCGCATGCCCCACACGAGAGGTCAGGCATGTGGAGAGCCATGCGGCCGCACAGACGTGAGTGATGGAGACGGAAAGAGGCGAGTCTGACATTCTGAACACGCTTTATTGCATTGGCCGGAACACTCTGAACTCATAAAGCTTCTGTGGGACTCTTCCGTTCCCAAACCCTCAAAAGTGTGTTGAACCAGCAAAAAAAGAGAAGAAATAGAGAAGTAATGATCTGGACAGATACAAAACAGCATGCCTTACTCAGGCCCCCCGCATGCCCCCTGCTGCTTCCTGGTGGTGAAGAAGTCGCAGGAAGCAGAGTAAAAACCTCACCACGCAAGACGACACCCGTGCGAAGAGCCAGCGACCCTGGCCCAGCGCCTATGCCCCCGCCGCGAAGGCCGTCCCCAAAGCTGCTAAAGTGAACAGTGAGACATCGCGCATGCGCTGGTGGGCGGTGGAAACGCCACGCCCACACCCCCACAACTCGGCTGCAGGCTCCCTAAATGCTGGGCGTGGCACTAGAAATTCCATGCTGGGTCAGGTCAGTACCGGTGAGAGGCTACTAGACTCTACAGTGAAATATCAGACAGACGTTTACCAAAACCAATATAAAAATCTGGCCCAGAAAGACCGGAACAGAAATGTGCAATTTTCTTGATTTAAGATGGTCAAAAGTATGTTTTTTAAAAAAGCTCCACACACCGTGTGAAACAAGCGTGTGTGAGCAGCTCTGTGTGTGCGGACTTGACCATGGCGACTCAGGCTGACTCTGGGTTCTGTATGAAGGGTTAGAGACACACGTCTTCAGCAGTGCACATGAGAAATAAACTCGGAAAAAGGCAATTTCTTGGGTTTAGGAAGGACCGTGTTCTAGGAAGTACTTCGGAGGAACGGACAATAATTCTAGGATTACAGCCGGAAGGACTGGAAGACTTCGGGGGATGCTTTTCAGCTTCTTCTAGACTTTGAATGTTGAATAAGCCACTGAAGTGTGATATCTAAAGATGAAGGGAAAAAGGCAGTAAGACACCACAGTTAAGAAGCGAAACATTGGAGAGAATGTTTAAGGTGCAGCCCATGCCACGTGGGCCTGCCCTGTTCCGCCCTTATGCCCTTGCACCGCTGCTGCCGTCCTCTGGGTCTTAAGGAGACCACCGAGGAACGAGGACCGAGGAGTCTGGTTTGCACTGTGGAGAACACTCGGGCCTCCTTCAGTTCATTCAGAAACTCACGGACTGCCTGTGAAATCAGGTACTGCACGTGAAGTCTAGGAACACAGCTCCAAGAGACGTCCTCTCTGCCCTTGACAAGCCTCTAGTACCATGGTCGGGACACACGTGAGCATCCACTTGGGGTTGGGGGCCGCCCCACAGAATGCCAGGCAGAGGAAACTGTACGGAGCTCTGGGTGGACGGGAAGTGTTCTGATGTGGCTGAAGCCGAGGGCGGGGTGGGGTGCCACTCACCGCTCAGGCTAGAGCAGGGGTTCCCACTGCCCCTTTGGCCACGGGGCTGGTTAGCTCTGCTGGGTGGGAGGACGCCCCTCCCCTTGCACGGTGGGGTGTCTGCACCCCCATGGCCTTCCCCACCATGTGCCACCATCACCATCCTCCCTCAGGTGTCGCGCCCTGTCACCCCTTCAGACACTACCGAGGGTCCCCTGCCGAGGACCGCAGGGCTAGAGGGAGCCCGGGGACCCATGTGTCATGGTAAGACACTAGAAATCTGGGTGTTCTCCTCATGCCAACAAAGAGCTGCTGGAGAGCTTTAAGCAGGGAGACTATCGGTTTGTTCAGGGAGATCAACACTGGTACCGGAAGGGCTGCCGGGCTACGGACCATCGATGGGGACAGTGTGGTGACAAAGGCCGGAAGCAAGCCAAGTGCAGTGGGCGTGGGGGGGGGGGATGAGCGATCAAGATGGGGGATGACAGGCACTGGTGCAGAGGACCTTCTGGTCTGAAGGAGTGTGTCACGGAGCTGCTGAGCGGCTCGGTGATGGAGGGAGAAGAGCCTTCAAAAATGATGACGGGGCACGGTCGCAGGCACATGGGCCCAGGAGCAGTTTAGCCACACAGGTCTGCGGAGGAGACGGGGACCTGCAGGACACCGCCACACGGGTGGCCCGAGACCACGGCCCCAAGGTTGGCCAGGAAAAGCACTGAGACAAGAAGAGACGCCAGCTGAGTCCAAACACTGGATTCCTGCCCTCGAGTTCTCGCAAGCACATCAGGCATGTGAGCTGTGTGTGGGCGTCTGGCAGAGGCAGCGCCGCTCTCCAAGCCCAAGGGTGAGGGCAGATCCCCGCTCACGTGCCACACGACAGCGCCCAGGCGGGCGGTGAGGGGAACCCACATGACTGCCCAAGGTGTGGGGACAGCCTGCAGAGAGAGCAAAGCCACACTCATAGAACTCAATGGGAGGAAGGTGGGTCTGAACGTGGACTGACCAGGTTTAAGTATTTCTGAAATTCACTGGAAAAATAAAAACCAAAACAAAAAACTCATGGACACTGGACAGAGGGATCCCTAAGACTAGACGAAAAGGGCCACAGCTGTGAGCCACCTCTGCAGAGACCAGCCTGCCAGCAGTGACCTGTTCCACGTGGGGTCAGAGGACACATGACCAACGACAGCACTTCCTGTGCCACTCTCGGGGGCGGGGAGTGTGACAGACGGGCATGTGCCCTTTCTGGAGCAATTTGGAAACTGATAAATGTGATACTGAAATGTGCTACAGACGCCACAGTTAAGAAGGATGTTCTGCCCTGAACACCCAAGTGTCATCGACTTGGCTGCTAGTTGTAGTTCCACTTCGAATACGCAGGCATTCCGACCCACAGACTCCTTGTTCTGAGCCGGGTGAACAGTGAGCGGCTCCCTCTCCTCCGTGGGCCCAGGGACGTCCTGCTGGCAGTGGGCTTCACGGCACACGCGGGGCGGGGGGCGGTTCTCGCCAGCCCCCTGCCTGTGCTGCACACACGCCCCCCAGAGACGCTCTTCAGGGAAGCCCCCGGCTACTTTATCATGGTTGGAAAAACAAAGGTTTTTTTCCTCCTTTCAAAAACGTCCCTCCATCCTAGGAATTAGTAAGTACAAGGGGACACGGGACTTACGGAGGGCGCAATGTGCTGACAGTGAGGGCTGGGACGGAACAGGGCCACGCAGCCTCGTCCCAGACATTCGGGCTGCACAGGTGTTCGCTGCGGGGTCTGCAGGGTGCTCACAGCACCTGGGCCTGGTCTCCGCCCCCAGACGCCAGCGCCGCCCTCGGCGTCGTGCCGACCCACTTGTCTCCAGACACTGCCGGCCCTCTGCTGTGGAAGCCCCTCCTGGGAGCTGCTCATGTGTGAGCCCGTGCTCGCTCGGAGGCACAACTTAAAATCGAATAGGAGTTTCCCCCAACATAGGAAAAGAGAATTAAAAATAAACCTTAAATGCTCGAACAGTCCGCTCTGGAGTGTATCAAGTCCCTACTCTGCTCATCCCACAGAGGTGGCTCCGTGCCCTCCAGCAGGTGCTGGGCTCGGGCAGCCTTGGGCGCTCTTTCAAGGAGGCCCTGGACCAGCCAGAAAAACTCCTGGGGGACTGAGGAGGGAGTTGGGGTACAGACTGGGACTGACTCGGGGAACAAAGGTAAGTAGGATGAGAACCAATATTGAATGAGGACTAAAGGCAAAAGACCAGAATATCTGTAAAGCACACTACTTTGGCCCTATTCACTGCACTTTACTTCAATACACTTTTGCTTATTAAATAATCCCTTACCTATTTTTAGCTAAGAGATGAAAGCCAAGCCATGCATACTTATTCTTCAAGGACTCTGGACTGAAAATTATTCTTCAAGGACTCCGACTGAGCAGTGTCCCCTAAAACGTCACAGCCGCCCAGAAACCCAGGATTTACTTGGACACAGGGTCTCTGCAGAGGTGCTCAGTTACGACCAAGGTCGCACTGATCACATGGGCACCTACCGCAGTGACGCGTCCTTGTGGGAAGAGAAAACGGGCGCGCAGGGGACAGGGCCGCGTGAGCACCTGAGGCCGGAGGCAGAGACTCGAGGTGCGTCTGCAAGCCTGGGCGAGCCCGGACAGCCAGCAACCCCCCCGCCCCCGTTAGAGAAGGGGAGGCACCTCCCTGGGCCGTCGGAGGGCCACACCTTCATGACAGCCATCTGGCCTCATGAACTGGAAGGAACATGCTGTTTTATGCCACCCGGTCTGTGGCACTTTGCTATGGGGGTCCTGGGAAACTAGCCCGTTAGTAGATAAGGGGCATTTGGGGCTTTCCTTCTCCAATGGAGCAAGAGCACGTTTCAGTGACAAAGTGGTTCCATAAATTAGAGCTTGTTACAACGCTTGTGGGCCAACCTTTGTGTGGTCTCATTTCAAGAATGTCATTGTGTTATAAAGCACAGCCAGACACTAGCTGCGTAAAAATTAACGCAATGGCTCAATACCCCATTTGCTTAATTTGGTGTCTCTACTGCACCGGCCCCTTTACATAGTGCAGACCAGACTCGGGACGAGTCCCGGCTGTTGAAGGGTATAACGTCTACTCTTTTCCTCCGGCGAAGGCAACTGTGCTGTATAAAGAAAGTCACTTAAACACAAATGGGGATAATAAACAGAAATATCTTTAGACACCCCTTCCAGTGATAACACTTTCTTCCAACAAAAACACCTGTCATTTCTTACCTATATTATCCTTTTCTTTGCAAGAAATTGAATAGCAGCAGATTTCTCTATCCTGAATGGCAGACAGGTTCCTGCAAGAAGCAGAACGGAGAGGTGAGTCTGTGCGGGGAACAGCTGTCTTCCCTGTCACTCTTTGCCCGATTCCACTTGCATGTCCATGACTGAGCTGCAGAAGTTGCTTTACTGCTACAGCAGTGGCAGGGCCGGACCAGCACCGAAAGGTGCGGCATTGCGATGCTAAACCAAGTGGTGGGCAAAACAGTGCACTTTAGAACCAACTTTGAAACCCAAACTCCATCACCCACTCTAAGACATACATTTTTTCAATGAGCTGTTTCTCATCCAAGGCATTAGGGAGATCTCTCTTGTTCCCAAGGACTAGCACCTGTAAAGAGAAAAATGTTAAGAGTAAACTTAACATAAGAACATGCCACAGAAGCACATCGTATTCCTCTGTGTAGATGCTAAAGTGAGAATGCTGCCCTGGCTGGTGGGGCTCAGTGGGCTGGGCGTCGTCCTGCAAACCGTAGGCCACAGGTTCGATTCCTCATCTGGGCACAGGCCTGGGCTGTGGGCCAGGTCCCCTGTTGGGGTGTGTGTGAGAGGCAACTGATTGATGTTTATCTCCCTGTCTCCCCCCTTCCCCTCTCTCTGAAAAGAAATCAAATCTTTAAAAGCAGCGGAAATGCCGCCACAGGCCCTCACACTGCAACGTGTTCGGGTGGTGGCAGCTCCCCCCACTCGGTTGTTCAGGCTGCTGTTCACTGCGGAGTCCGCAGCGCGGACACTCATTAGTCTGTGTGGCCGCCGCCCTCCACTGAAACTGCTCTCAGCCTATGGTGCCGGTTCTTCTATTCTTTCCTTTGTTTTTTTTAACTGATTGATTTGCGAGAGGAAGGCGGGGAGGGAAACACTGAGGAGAGACCAGACCGGTTGCCTCCCACCCGGGGCCCAACCAGAGAAGGGACTGGCAACCCCACGGTGCCCGGATGACTCGCTGACCGACTGAGTCGCCTCGCCACGGCCCGCCTGTCCTCTGACGCTCCACCACGCTCGCCTGCGATTGGCTGTCGCGGATGCGGCTGCCTGGCGTCTCAGCCCTCTCCCCACATTCAAGGACCTCCTGCCTCCTGACCCCCTTTCTGGCTCTGCTCTCCCGTCTGCTGGCGCCCGACACTCGATCTGGGACCCCCACAGCCCTGACCACGCAGCCTGGGCTGCAGGGAAGCAGGAAGAGCAAAGCCCTCCCGACAGGAGAGGGTGCTGCCTCTCCGCCAGGGGTGCCGAGAGCCCTGACAGTGCAGCCACGAGACTGACCCCACTCGTGGCACACGCCACAGGTCTGTATCGTGGAGGGAAGAGTCTGGCAGACACGCATTCAGAATCCGGCTGTGCAACACACTAGTGGCCACGCGGCCTGAGAAACAACTGTGGTAGAGGAGGGACAACAGCACCAACTCACGCTGCTGCGAGGATTAACTGAGGTGGCCCACTCCAAGTCCCCGACACCCGTGGGCTTGCCGTGAGGCCGGAGCCCAATCCTCTGCCAGCACCTCTTCAGTCAACCAGCGGCGCCATCTCCCACCCAACTACACAGGGAACTAGGGCCTGTTCCCGTGTCTTCCCTTCTCCCCCGGGCTCAGTCGGAGGGCCGGGCTCCTAGACGTCGCTGACATCTGTCCCCACTGCACCGTCCTGCCACCACCACCTGCAACTATGGTGCTGTCCCCCGTTGAGACTTCAACAGCTGCCATGCTGTCCTCCGCACGGTCCGCCCTTCAAGTGCAGTCCGGATTTAAATAATGCATCCGATCACTTACAACACTACAACACTACAGCGGCTTCCCACCCAGTCCAGCGCACGCCACGCCTCCCCCAGTGCCCCTGCAGCCGCACAGGCCCCGAGCCCCCACCCTGCTGCCCGGGATGTGCCTCCTCTCCGGGCCCCACCTCCCCCCACCAAGGAGCCTCCTCCACACAGCGCTCACACCTCAGCTGGAGGGTCGCCTCTGCAGAGCGTCCCCGCTCCCCTCCCCCTGGCGCACCCCGCTCCCACGCAGCACTGGTCCCGGCGCCGCCAGCCCGGCACTCCAGGCCTCCCTCTCCCACTAGACCACAGGCTCCGAGATGCTGTGTGCTCTGCTGCCCCCCGCGCTGAGCGCGGCCCCTGCTGCACACGGCTTAGTACAGGGCTGGTCAGGAGAGCACGGCAGTGCTCAGTCTGCCAAGCCTCCCAGACTGTAGAACAGATGACATTTTACTGACATCAATCATAATGTAACCAGACACTGTCATATACTCCTAGTAATATGGTAAGTTACAGACAGTATATGCAATGTAAAATAACGAGCACTCTGTACTTACTGGGATTCCTTGTAACTGTGGTTTATCTAGAAGATTATGTAGTTCGTTTCGAGAGGCTTCTATCTTTTCCCGATCTGCAGCATCTATCATGTACCTTAAGAAAACAAAGCGATCTCAATATGCCATAATCTTTCAGGATCACAATTGATATGAAAAATGTTGAGTTACACTACTGAAATTGTTAATCAAAATAAAACCCTAGATAAAGATAAGCTCCTCACCCTAAAATAGTTTAAAAATAAGACTGTTCTTAGGAGCTAGTACATGACAGCAACACATTTGCGTCCCCTGGCTCGGAGGTGACAAATAAACAGCAGAGATAAAACGCTCACTCTATGATCAAGTACTTTGACGTCTCTTGAATTACACTAACAAGACATCTAGGAAAGACTGTCATTGCCAGAAATAAAGAAGTGAGCCCCTGGAAGTATCAAAGACAAGTGCCCCCCTCACCGCCCGAAGCCCGCCGACCCGAGGACGTGCTCACACAATGGCGTTGACGCCGCGGCAGTACCGCTCCCACATGCTCCGGAACCGGGGCTGCCCGCCGATGTCCCAGATCTGCAGACGAGACAGACACTCAGCACGGGGCCCGGCGACATGGGCAGGGCCAGTGCGGGACCCTGCGCTCCTCTTCACCACAAGCCAAACTGCTCCTGAGAAACTGGAGCTCAACAGGCTCTTAATCTGGACGTTCCTGCGGCTGCTTCTAAACCTGAAGCTCACACTTAATATATTCACACTGACTCTAGTAAGTCTACCTGAGCAAAGATTTAGTTTCCGTGCAGTGTTTTTTTTTTTTGCCTGTTGACCAACACATTCTCAAGACTAAAAGTGCGGCAGTCCTTCCACGCCTATAGGGAATGCGTCCCACACACTAAGTGATGACGAAACAGAACAACACCTGTGAGTGACTGAGGGGCGGGCAGTGCATCCAGGGTGGATGTGACAGACGCGGGGAGGACTCACATCCTGCGTGGGACAGAGAGGGAGGGCACAGGCTTCATCAGATGGCCCACGATCTGAAGCTGATGAATTGCTTATTTCTGCTGTTTTCCATGTAATGTTTTCAGACTGTGGCTGATCACAGGTAACTGAGACAGCGGACAGGGGAACTGCTGTCTACACCTTTAACATGACACCCCCCGAACCTTCAGGCCCATGCATCCCCTGGATCTGAGGGCCCACACAGAAAACGCTTCATTCGTAACCCATCATGGCTTCACCATCTAATGGGGCGCAGATTAATGCCTGACTGTTTTTAACTGTTCTGTGAGTGGCACAGCCAGTGTTTCTGCCTGGGTGCTTCTCTGCTGTGAAATGATCTGACCCATATAAGAGCTACCACCACAGTGATTTCATTACTGTGGCTGCCATTCCAGATGATGTAGTCCATAAAAGCCCGGTTGTGGTGCTTATCTTCAAAGGCATCCCCTCCAGCTTTGGCCCTGGGGACAGAGGGTCAGAACCTCTGCCCGAGAAGCTGCCTTGAGAACTCAGCCAACATGGCCTTGAACCACTGAACCAGCCCGGCCCACCAAAACCGAAACCCCAGTGCAGCCCCTGACAGATGGTCCAACTCGCTGTCAAGGCTGAAGTGCGTTACATCAGCCACTTCCCCCACTTTATAGTTTTAATTTGCAGGCTTAGTAGTCAAGAAAGGGAACATGAGGTTACCACCTTTGCTACTACAAATATACTAAATTACCAATGTTATAAATAGTACGTTATTATTTTTCAAAATACAATTTGCCCATGAAATAATGTAATACCACATTCCAAAAGCTCTGAAGAGCAGGTTTTTTATTCCCAGGACCATCTAAATCCCAAATAATTAACTCTGCCAACCCACAGGCTAAGTTTTCTCTGGGCATTTACCATTTGATGCTTACCATCAGAGGGAGAAAAAGGCACAAACCACTCACACTCCGGAAGAGGCCGTTCACCAGTTAAGAACAGTAACACTCACGAAAAAGCAGCCAACAGAAGCGCGCTCGGCTGCACACGCGAGCAGCGCGTGGAGCCTGGCGTGAGGGTGACGCACCTTTATCGTGACGTTCCCTTTAGTCACCTTCCTCATGTTGAAGCCCACCGTGGGTATCATGTCCTCGCTGAACTGGCCCGACTGCAAGGAAGAAGACACGCAGGGTCAGCACAGTCGCCGGTGACCCCCCAGCGCCAACATTGCTTCTGCGCTGCCTGTGCAAGTCACTCACGCCTTAGGACCGGTGCCCACAGCCACTGCTGTTGGAGAGGGCGGTGCCCTGTTCGCACCTGGACACCAGAGAAACGTCTCCCATTAGAGAAAAACAGTTCTGAAACTAGGGAATTTTTTTTACTTATTTCCTTAAGTGTAAAAAAAGGAAATGTCGTATGACTACATATGAAAATGTATTAATCCCCCCCTACACACACACACACCTTTTCACAAAGTAAAAGTCAGAAGTAAAACTTCAGTTTCTCCATTTTTAGTGTTTGTTATTTTGACAATTGCTGTTGAAATTCAACAGCTTTCCCGAGTATTTCTTTTAACAAGGCTTGTAAAATGTTTTGTCATAAAGTCTCCTTTATGTAACCATTTCTGCTCTTTTGTTCATTACCTTCCTGTCCTAAGACTAAAATCAGACACTTTCTGACAGCATTTGTGTGACTTTTTCAAATTAAAAACTTGATAATATGGTACAAGAAAGCTGCCTGTTTTCAAACGGATAACCGACCGCCACCGCAGTCCTCGTTTCAACACCCGCACCCAGCGAGCCCCGCACCGCAGCCCTGCGTTCCCCAGGACGGCGCGGGTCACTGGCGGGTCTGGAACGTTCCTGGAGCTGCCCAGGCTCATCCTGCACACTCCAAACAAAGCTCAGAACTGATGACATTTAACCACCACCAGGCCCCTCCATCCAGGGACACGGTCTATCAACTCAAACATTCCAGTCTTTTATATTCTTCAGTGAAGTATCACAATTCTCATTAGAGCTTCCACATTTCTTATTGTATTCCTTATTTTTTTCAAAATTCCCTTTATTGGTTTTTAGAGAGAGGAAGGCAGGGAGAGAGTCAGAGAGAGAAACTTGGAGTCTCTCACACACACCCCGACTGGAGACCAAACAAGCCACCTTCTGGTGTGTGGGACGCTTGAACCAACTGGGCTACCTGGTCAGGGCCGTCCTAGTCCTTACTTTGACTGTGACTGTGAAGGGCACCCAATGAGGCACAGTTAACACGGACTTTATATACCCGTATTTACACATTTTATGTACCAAACACTAATTTTTCAGGGAACAGCCCAGATCATGACATACCTCAAGCAAGAACTATGTAGACAAGCACAACTACTTCCAAGGCCCCGACAGTGGCGGCCTGCCAGCTGTGACCCCGCCCAGCTGGGCTACACGCGGCCCGGCTCCCTGAGTCCTGTGCACCGAGCCCCACTCTCACGCCGACTTCCGCTACACAACTCCACCAGTCCTACCCCGCCCCATTCCGTGGAGTCTGGGCTAACTTCAAACAGGTGTGCACAGGGCCGTACGTACCACTTCCATTAGCACTGGACACTGCAGTTCTCGCAACTTTCACATATGGTTCACACTCGGAGATCTAGTCACGTCAGGACTACGTGTATAAAACTAGTCATAATGTAACACCAAAAATGACCGCGACTTTAAAAACTGGCAAAAGCAGCACCAAAGGCATGACCCATGGAACGGACTAATGAATGGACTGAAGCTGGACTTCACTCAAATGAAAAACCGCCTGCGCTGCAAGGGACAGTCCTGAGAGAGACCGGCCACAGAGCAGGAGACAGTGCGTGCGGCAGCAACACCCGATAAAGGACTGCGGCCCCCTGCACACCAGGGCTCCGATGACTCACTGTACGAAAACAGCCCAATCACGAGAGAAGCCAAAGACCTCACCAGAGGACCCACCGCAGACCACAGACGGCCAAGGAGCCCAGGAAGAGACGCTTCCATCCCGCGGCGTCAGGGGCGAGCAAATTAAAACGACGTACCAGTGCAGGGGGGGGGGCGCTGGCCACGAGCGCGGACCCCCCTGGACTCGGAGCAGCAGGGACTCCTGTTCATTGCTGGAGGGACACAGACCGGAGCAGCTGCTCGGAAGACAGTTCAGTGGCTTCCCACACAACCAAACATGCCCGGGCCCCACGCTCTGACCACTGTGCTCCCAAAGGAGTGGAGCACCACGTCCACCCAAAACCCGAACACGGAAGGTCGGAGTGGCTTTGTCCACAGCTGCCCCAGCGAGGACGCAGCCGGGCCGCCCTGCAGCAGGGGACTGGCAAACATCCCACGCACGTCGGGCAGTGGGGCGGTACTCAGCCCTGAAAGACATGAGCTGCCAGGAGCATGCGGAGAAGCCCTACATGCCTGTCCGAGGGAAGGCTGGACACGGACAGACTACACGTGTGGTTCTGACCACACGGCATTCTGGAAAAGGCAAAACTCTGGGAGCGGTACTGACACCTGTCACCGCACATTTATTTGCCCACACCCACAGGAAGCACGACCCCAAATGACCTTAATGAGATCTAGGGACTCCAGGTGGTGATGATGCATCGACGCCAGTTGTTGCCCATGAACGTGCCGTTCTAGTGTGGGATTTAATAAAAAAAAGATGTTATTTGTTCTTAGAGAGGGAAGGGAGAAGAAAGAGAGGGAGAGGAACGTCAATGTGTGGTTACCTCTCATACGCCCCCTACTGGGGGCCAGGCCTGCAAACCAGGCATGTGCCCTGACTGGGAATAGAACTAGCGACCTTCTGGTTTGCAGGTCGGTGCTCGATCAATCCCGAGCCACACCAGCCAGGGCTGTCTGCACAACTGCTCTTCCAAATGAGCAAGGGCAAGAAGCAAGTGCAAGTGCTAACTGCGTGGGAAGAGAAGGTCCACTCCGCTGGATCAGCCCACTCAGGGCAGCAGTCCAGGTCGATCCCATCCACTTGAGAAACAAAGTGCCCACTCCAATAAATGTGCCACCACTTTTTCTCTAGAAGGTTTTTTAAAGGCTTTGGTTATTAAGCTAATTTGGGAAGCAATGAAATAAGAGCACAAAAAAGCCTCATATAAATTTCTCCTCTTGGACAAAAGCAGCTACTTTCACATGCTAAGCACTGAGGTCTTTTTTTTTTTTCTGAAACTACCCACACCGTGACTCAGTTGTTTAACTGCCAAACTGTACATTTAACAAGTGAAATGATACGACCAATAAACGCACAAGGTAGTCATGTTTTTTCCTAAGAACTTTTAATTCAAATGTGAAATGACTACAATCAATACTCATTCTTCTAATAGTAGCATTATGATGCTAATAAGTGGGATTTCTAGTAATAATATTACTCTTATATTCCAGATACATTAGTAAGAAAAAAGAGTAAGACTGTTTTTTGAGGGGGGTGCTGGTGAAGCACGTGAAATAACAGGTACGCAGGAGCTAGCTCCTGGGGGAACTCTGGTGAGCCGCAGGCTGCCCCTGAGGTCTCCAACTGCGCCCCCCAACCGCTCCGCAGTGGAAGGGGACACCAGAGCTCCACAAGGGAAGAGTCAGCGCCTCAATGGAACGACCAAAAGCAACACCACCTCAGGTGACCGGTGTCACCTCAGGCTCAGATGGACATCGTGTGCCTACAGAAGGGACACCACAAGGACACAATGTCCCCTATGTAATACGTCAGCTGAGAACGCACACATCGGATCTAGTCATGAGCAAACGTCAGACAAACCCAAAATGAGGAACAGTCTATTAAAAAGGGGGGAGGGATATTTCCAAAAAATGTCAATGTTGTAAAAGACAAAGGCTAAAAAAATGTTCTGGACCACAGGGGGCTAAAGAGACACGGTCACTAAGCAGTGGGCTTGACCCTGAACTGGACCCTGTGCTGGAGGGAAAACGCTGTCCGTGAAGTCACTGGGTTGTCAGTCTGTGCGGCACTGTCCTTGCTGGTGTGGTCAAGTCGGTCACTGTGCTGGTCAAGGGAACGGATACCCCCAACTCAGGAAACAGGAACTTAGGCACGAGCTGGGAGCGAAGGGCCGTGGTCTCCTGTAGGCGGCGCAGGTGTGAGGACGTGAAAGCCAAGGTCGCAGAATGCCACCCTGGGCACAGGTTGTTCGGGTGTTCTCTGCCAAGCTTTTAACCCCGGAAGTCTCCCACAAACCTGAAATTATTTCCAGATATAACGTTTTAAAGTGATCTCGATGAGGATAATCAAACATCACCTTGGCTTCCGTTCTACCAAGGACATATAGAATAAAGTACGCCGGCCAAGTCGGCGCCACTGCCACTGTCATGGCGGGCACGGGCGCACACCGGCCCCCAGGAATTTCCGCGAGTCCAAGGATGAGCTGTTCCCAATCTGCTTCTGTCCCTTAATATCCTAAGACAATACAAACTTGCAAGTGTCTCCCAACAGAAAAATCCATTTTACAGTCTGGGCGTAGGGAAAAAGCCTCTGGACTTTCAGACTGACGTCGTTAAGTCTATGTCTCATCGCCACTTATGAGCTGGAAAATGAAATAAATACAGTGTGTTCTCCCCAGGCCAAGCTCCTTCTGGTTTCTGGAAAAACGACACGGCTGTGACGGATCTTCCTCCTCTTTTCTAAGCACTTACCAGCAGCTCTGCTGTGAACACACTCACCCTGTCTGGGGAGAGCCCCCGGAAATACTGTTAAGGGACTAGAAGGGGGCACTCACACTCACCCTCTGTGATCACGTAGAAACTGCGTTTCTTTAATGGGACCTCTTCTTTCTTTCTTCTGGTTCAGTCTGGCCCCGCCCAGCACCCTGACCCACCCGCCTTCCTCCTTCCTTGCTCCTCCCTCCCTCGACCACTCCCTCAAGCATTAAGCCCCCAAGACAATGAGGTTTGGATCAGCATCAGATAATCTTCAGAGCAAAGCCTGAGGCAGACTCCTAAGGTCCCAGAGACAGAGTTTTGGTCAAACTGGAGACAACCTTGGGCCTCAGCTGTGTTTCAGCTCCAGGCCCAGATAAGCAGCAAGGCCGGATGCAATGACAGCTGGCTGCACTGGGACCAGGTGCCCTGGCCAGCTCCCCAGCCCTAGCACTGGCTAGTTGGTGGTGGCTACGACCCTGACCCCCTTAGTCAC